TCACATTTAAGGAGGAGTAGTTTCCTAAATATGAGACGGAGATTTTTCCTTGTCACGAATGTGAAATTATAGTTCTAAACTATTTTCACTGTGATGGTTGTTGAACGCATTATCCAAGGGCACATATTACTTTGGAATAGCTCATCATATCTATCAAATGTAACAAAAATTTGAAAAGTATCTCATTTTTAGGTTAATTGCTTTAATTTTATTATTAAACCATAAAGAATAATTTACGAAAATAAAGATCAAGAACAAAGTATCAAATGTTGACTATTTTTGAGTACCAAGGCGGCCATGTTTGTTTACATTTGAAACAGCAGAATAGTGGATTTGTTGCCAATCTAGAGAAATTAAGCTTCGCAACAAAAGATAACGCCTTCATTTATTACTGCGAATTAAATCATGCTTAATCCATTATGGAATTTTTTCGGGGAAATAAGTGATTAAGATTTACTTCGTAAATTTGAATATAGATATTTTGGGCTTTTATGTATATTTGCCTTGTCGCGAAGTGAGAACTGAATTAATTGAATGAGAAATACTGAATCGCCTGTGAAAGACTGTTTCTTTTTTCTTTTTTAATTCCTTTTGTACATCGTTTTAGATTTATGATAGTATTTGAACAGAACATGTGGCAATGATTAGATAATTCTTCAGCTGATATAAATTTTGTGCATGCTGAGTTATAAAATGAATGAAAGTGAACCTAGCGCCAGAGTGTCACTATGGTAAACAAATATAGTGAATTTTTAAAGACTACATTTATTGTATTGTGGTGTATGCGCTATCGACGTATTAGATTTAATTCATTCCAGTAAGTTTAAATAAAATGCGAAGAAAAAATGCGTATAATTTAATATTCCTTACAAGGAAGTCATGTGGTGTACACATCAGATATTTTAATTTTAACAGTGCTGAAGTACGCAACATAATATCACATTCCTTATCAGGAAGCCTGTGTGCTTCGATGTTACAAATACTTAAAACGGATCTGAAAATTTCAGCACTTTTATACTCTTATAAATATAAATTTTTATGAGTTCCTTCACTTTATCCGACGTATCTTTTCAGGATGAAAATGTAATTTCTGTGACAAAATTTAACGATTCTTCTGAAAAACCTTTTCATTATTTATCTCATAAATCATGAATAGTTTTTGAACGAAACCTTTCCACTGAGGCAATAAAAAAATTTACAAGCACTGAAAAATTATATTTACATATCAGTGAATACTTAAGGGAAGAATGAAATTTTATGATGCTATAAAATGTTGCCTTATCTGTGCGTCAGCAATCGTTTTCAACCATAAAAGAAGTAATACAACTTTAACTTCTGGCGTTCAAATAGAGAGATAAATTAAAAAGAAATGTTGCAAAGGTAATCAGAATGACACTTATTCCAGCAGATATAGATTGTTTTTTATTATTATGAAAGATTTAATAGAAAGTGTAATCGAAAACATTAGGCCAATTATAATACATCCCGCATGCTTTATTAAAGCGCAGTGATAGTATATCAGTTCAGTGCGCGGATGGTCACACGCTCAGCTGTAGCTGTAGTTTTTCATGAAATGTTTCTTGTTAATTAATGAATTCCTCTCGTTCTTTAAAAATTGAGTAAAAATCTTTCCGATTTTTCCAGATGTAATGATTAAAATGAAAATATCCGGATCAAATTCGAGATAAAGAAAATGTTCAGTTATTAAATTTTGCTTAATTTCTGGTATTCATTGCTAACACAGCTGACTGGATAAACGTTTCGCAATTTCGCATTAAGGAATACTAATTCTATATTCTGAGAAGAGGAGATTTTCTAAATCATGTACTAATCATCATTTTTGGTCTTTCGAACACGCATTTATACTTTCTATTGCTGAGTTTATTCTAACCAATTACTTTTAGTTTGACTTCCCCCCCCCCTCCTGATTTCAGTTTTCTGCCGGAATGTAAATTTTAATGACGTAGTATGCAAAATCTAAGTGTGTTCAGAAGCAGTGTTTAAGATGCGTTTCAATAGCTCGTGAGGGGTAGTAGCGGAGTTAGTTTCGAGTTTATGCTTGTGTGTTTGAAATAGCTTTCTATTTGGTGTTAGCCACCTTCTTGAGATTATATTGATATTCTAGGCTCGGCTCCGCTGTGTGCAACCGATTTAGTGGTTTAGATAAATAAGGAGCCAGTCATTTAGCCATGCTAATTTATTGTGATTTTATATTTTTATTTTCTGTTCAATTTATTAGCCACAAGTGGTGGTTAATTGTGAGCACTGAGTGAGTGCATCGTGTTACGTTATTTGAAATAAAAAGGGTTATTTAAAACCTTCTTTTGTTGTATCGGTTCATAGCAAGAATTCGCTACGCAGTCCTTCCACGTAGAATCTACTGTGAATAACTCCCGAAAAATACACATAGACACCACACTTCTTATTAATTATGTTGCTTTGAAGGTTTTGTATCCTTAAAGGTTTCACCATTTTAGTTCAATATTGTGAGTTACAATTTTTAGTGCGTCCCTGTCTTCAAATGTATTAACTTGCTGCTGAAAATTGTAAACTACTTTCTCTATATATGGATATATAGAGAGCTATATATATATCCATATATAGAGATAGATAGAGCTATATATATATATATATATATATGGATATATTCTTTATATATGGAGAGCGTCTACCATCTTTTTGCCAAGAATGCAAGACTTTTATGGTTTTTGTCATTATTTTTTGAAGTTTTATTTTGCGTGTATTTTTTGAGATTCAAGAAAATTTTCTTTTCTGTTCGTAATTATTTTAATTCACTTGGGTTTAGATGAATGTGAAATGTTTGTAAAATGAAAAATTAAAAATGAAACTCAAATTTAATATTGACAAAATTAACATTTATTTAGATGATAGTTTCCAAAACTCATATTGTAATGAACAGCTACTTGCTTTGCCATTTAACTATCTGATCGATCCAGTACTAAATAATGTAATGATGTAATGAATCGGCATTTTATTTTTATTCTTCACAATATTCTATTTAATATTTATTCTATCTAGAGACTTTGAAAATATTCTTTTTTACTGAACATTGTAGAGATAAATGCTATGAAGGAGTAGTGCTGTACGAGAGAGAGAAAGACTGTACTTTACGAATATATTTAAAGAAAGCATTTATGATTTACGATTTGAATTTTCATTGATTAATGAGAGTCTTAGAAACTTCACAATGTATACTCAGATTCAAAAATGCTTAATATATTCTAAGAAAACGATCTAGTTTGCTAAACTGCCAATCAGACGGGAAAATGGCTAGTAACTCTGAGTGTTGTACCGAAGGGCCCGGGTTTAAATCCTGGAGAAGGCATAGATGTAAATTGTCTGGTCCTTTATATTAAGCAACTGGGCCCACCAGCGGCCGAGCGGTAAAGTCGCTGGACACTGGTAGTTCGGTCCGAGGTTCGAATCCCGCCGACGGGCTGGCTGCATGGGCGTTTTCGTGGTTTTCCCCATGTGTAACGTGTATACGAGCCAGTTTCCCTTAGAAAGTCCTCCCACGAAGGTATCCCTCCTCTTAGGCAGATAGCCCTAGTGTACTTTGCCGTAATTAAATAAACCAAACCAAAACCATATTAAGCAACTGCGGTTCACCTATTAGGTGCTTCCATAATAAAGTGACTACCGCTTCCGTCTTTAGTGGTGGTCAACGCCTATAACTGTTAGTGCCCTCCATTAGAAATAAAAATAAATAAATACATTTTTTTTAATTCTAAGAAAATGTGTTAGTGCTGTTACTGCAAGAAGTCTTACATAAAAAATGGTCGCTTTTCATAATTATGGCAAGCTTCAATAGATAATGAAGTCTCTAGTCTCTGGCGGAAGTTCATACGTTTCAAGAAATTGGAGAGAGCAAGCATGCTCAATTACTTTCCATATAGCTAAAACCATTCTAAACCATTTTCGAATTTACATTGGCAGAAAAGTTGCTTTTTCCTTTGCATGTGATTTATTGAAATAACAATAACACTGATGATCTACAAGAAAAATAAACTATATTTATGAGGCATAATATTTTTACCTTGTTTCTGTTTTTCAATTTCTTTTCAGCCGCCCTGATTGGTATAGTGGTTAGACTACTAGTTACTAGTAATGATTAGACTTACTAGTTACTAGTTGACTACTAGTTACTACTATTACTAGTTGCCGTATCATTGGTACCAGCTTCGAATCCCGGAGAAAATTTGAATGATTGTATGGGAATAATGTCATGAATGCATTTTATGGCGAATCTTAGGTCTTCTTGAGAGATTTGGTAGTAGATGAAGAGTTTCGGAGACCCTTGAATGCATCTCTTAGGGATTCTCTTTTAAAAGTGGAACGGAACTGATCAAAAACATACTAAAGCACCGTGCCAGCGACAGAAGCAATCTTATGTCCTTTGCCATGGTAAAATCCGTGGACTTGTTCTAATGCAATTTTCAGATACGTGAGATAAATCACTGCAACAATAGTTTACTTTCGTTTCGCCTTTTGTTCATTTCAGATACTCATTTCTGAAATATATCAATGAGCGTTTGAAATAAAAAGGCTTCAGAATAGATTTCATGATCACAATGATCTGAAAAATAGAAAGCTAATGAGATATATGAAATTAAATTGCATTTGTTAGTGAAAGTCAGCCGAAAGGCTTGAAGTAGTTGGGCATAAATATATATATATACATTATATTTGAGCTCAAATTAATTACTTCAGTAGCTTGAGCCTAAAATACTGTCCGATAAACGTTTTTCAAAGTGATAATTGTGTTTTGCCTTTATGTAAGCAAAACGCAATTATCAGTAATTGGTAAATGTGCAGGAGTCAAACTGAACGCTTCAGTAAATTTCAGTAGTTTTGAATTAAGTGATGAATCTCTAGTGATAACTCATTAAAAGACCACTCTTAAAATAGCAGTGCATTAAAAACCTATGCAGTGAGATTTGTATTGCGTACCCATTTCTAATGACAGTTCTCTTTCTCAGGGTTCCTGTTCATGTCAAGATTATGCTTCTAACGATGAATCACAGACTATGACAACAGACGACGGCATTTTACATCCGGACATCAAGCAAGCCTTGGAAAGTGCTGAGCGGAGGAGACAGGAATACCTGGATAAAGTAATTAAAATCCTTCACAAGTCGAAATGCTTTGTTTAGAGCCTATTGAATAATCCAGAAATTTTAAATATTGCACTGGTATTTCTGAAATTACTCATTCCTGATACATTTCGAATGCCTGGAAACTGGAATTCTGTAATAAACACGGGAAAATGAAGTACAAGTTGATTGCGAATTTATGCGCAAACAATACGCATAGTTTAACTATAGCAACTTTAAAAATCATATATTAATACAAAATGTTATATTTCAAACTTGTAATAAGTAAATAAGCTACGGTTACTTTTTTCGCATTGTCTCGTAAGGCATGTCTAAACTACTTAAAGTTCTCCGTTTATGCCAAGAAATCATAAGCATGTGTTTACTGTATTTTTGAGACTAGATTATAACTTGCGAAGCGCGACATATCCATATCAGTAACAATACATTTCTTTCAACACACTTCACATAGGATAAATATTATGTATTATATTTGAGGATAAATATTATATATATCACGGAAAGCTCTTCTGAAGCAGACGCAATAATTGGTGTAGAAAATTTAGTGTTGTATTTGAATAATTTCAAGGCTTAGATAAATAATATTGGCATCATTTCGACAGTTCTGAAAAGACTTTTTTACCCAAAGGTACAAAAATTTACAATCCCAAAATATAATCATCTGTCATATCTATTACTTCTGCCTAGAAGACATCGTACATCATCAAGACATCCAACAGTGACCGCCTATAACTCGGATAACCTCCTATGTACTATTTTTAGTGTACGTTTTCCGGTAATTTGTTTCATTTTGGAGAAGAGAAAATAGCCATCCGGACTCAAATCGGTAAGGGAGGAGAGTGCTCTAGTATCTTCCATCGCCACCGTCATAGAAGATTTGTGACAGCATTTGCACTATGATACCATATAATGTCAAGGAAGAGGATGGAATTTGTCACCAGCAAACGCCATAGCTTTTTCTGAGTACTGCACGCACATGATGTCTTAGGGGATGAGAGAATATATCCTATCAAACTCCATGATAATGCGTGGTATCATAATTCGAGAGTTGTCACTGATTTCCTGCAATTGTGGCGAAGTCTGATACTCGAAGACCAACCATAATTATACCGTCTGAATCCTCGTACTTATGATCTCTTCGCTAAAATGTTGAGAAGAACTCATTACAATACCACAGACGAGAGCATCCATGCTTTATATAGGGCTAACACAAATGATTCATTCATTTTGAAAGGGCTATATTTTCAAAAGTATTACGCGTACACACATGAAAAATGTATGAAAGCAACCACAAACTCACCAAGTTTTACTTCACTATTTCATCACGTTTCTCGGAAAACTGGAACGTTATTAACGTTGTTTCATCGCTGAATATCAACTTTAGCGGCGAAATATTCGTCCTCCAATGCTTCCTGCATGTTGGCGCAAAAATCTAGTCGACAGGTGTAATCCTCCGGCTTTAATTGTGGCAGGAGTGTGGTCTGAAATGCAGCCGTTGACGCAAAATCTTCCACACAGTTTTTGTGGTATTCCGAACATGCGGTCAATTGAAAAGACGAACATCTGGACAACAATGCTATGAAATGTATGGAATGAGCTCGATTACGTCTGGACGTGTCCCGTGTCACCAAAGGGGTACATACGGAATATTTGTAGAGGGTGTACAAACTTGGTGAGTTTGTAGTTCTTTTCATATATCTTTCATGTGTGTACAAGAAATACTTTTTAAAAATATAGCCTTTTCAAAACGAATGAATCATTTATGCTAGCCTTGTATTAACCGTTTCGGATCATCAACAGAAGTAGATGTGCTGATGATATACGAATAACTTGCAATAACTTCCGAGAAACTAGAAGACATGGCTGGCGATTGTATTAAGGTACTATAAGTATTTGCACCTATGGTAACAGAATCTTTTCCGAACTATCGACGCATTACCACTACGTTTCATCCAGCACTTGTAATTAATCGCACTGTCACCAAATTCATCCAACATTAAGAAATTCCTTAGATTCGTTTTAAGTTGACAAAATCAGGCCTTATCTGTCAGTTGAATTTATAGAAAAACTTCATGAATTTCGAAACCTTATACCTCTCTCTCCCCCACGAAATGCACAGGACTTCCTGTGAGTTAAATTTCAGACAAGAGTTGATTTTTGCCTACTCTGAGAGTTGAGATTGGTGGGCTTCTTTTCTGTATTACATCACGTCTTTACCATGTTACACATAGCGTCATTCGGGTCAACTCCAGATTAATAGGAAGGGCATATTAACGGGATTCCAGGTAAACTGATCCTTATTAAAAATGTTAAATTTGTTCATTGCAAACCAATGGAAAATTACTATTACAAACCTTCAGAATATGGTAAAATTTCTAAAGGAAATAAAAGGCGAAGAAACAAATGCGTGAGATATCAGCAGGGAATAGAAAATAACACAATATTTAAGAATAGGTTTTAACCAAAGCATAATGTAATTTAATTATATGTAATCTGAAATAAATAAATATTGTTAAGTGATCAACTGAAAACTGCTAAACAGCAAAACAAAATTAAGTACTTTATGTTTTTGTTAAATATTTTATGTTTTAAAAAATATTATAAAAGCAATCACTTGGATAAATATTCCAGATATTCACTGTATCTACCTTCGTAAAGGTTCAGCAAATTAATGTGATTGTATGAGTACACTGTATGCCTGTGCATTAAGTATCTCATACAGTAAATGAAGAATGACTTTTGCAATTGTGGACGAGCTCCGTCAAGCATAAGTCATTGACTACATAAAGAAAGACTTGTTGCCATTTTTAGATGAGCTGACGCCTTGATGGGACGCTGTCAATTTGCTTCTAGTTGCTTACATAATTTGTGAATAGTATGTTTGGAAGGAACACATCTTGTACCAAAATGTGCACGAAAACGTCTTTGTGTTGCCGTCGAATGTTTCGCTTGCTTGAAAAACATCACAACTTTCTGTACAATATTCTAACCCGGTTATTATTCGTCATCTTGTAAACTGTAGTTTCCTAGCAAATTACAAGAATCTCTCCTGACATCAGTTGGATTTTTCATGAACAAAAACACTCCAATAAGCGTTTTTGCATTCAATATATATCATTATATATTCAGTATTAAGAATTTGTAGGACTGTTTTTGATCTGATAATGCTAAGTTTTTCCCAAACCCTAAGAGCCAGAAAGCGAATAGCGGCTATGTCTGAAATAATAGCAAAATTATGTAAAGGTTAAATAAACCTTTTTATTTAAACAGAATGTGAACACAAACGCAATGTCTTGTGCCAGCAATATCAGCAGCTGCTCGTGGTGATGCTTGTAAATAGAACAGTCAAATTTAAATCAAGCGTTGAACACTATTCAAGGACTACACAATTAAATATTACTGGAAGACGACTACCACTGTATTGAGGCATGAACATCAAAGTGTCAGCAGCGATACAACGCAACGCTGAATAATTACAACTATCAGAGCTGGCAGGAACTTACTACGTAGCGTGCGCACGAATCCAAACACACTCTCTGTCTTGAAATTCAAAACCTCCAGTTTAAATACTGGTTAACTCATTTGCATTTTGGGAACGAATACGGAAGAGAAGTTAATAGCAACTGGTTAATTTAAAACAATAACCTTACATATTTTATGGGATGAATGAAGAGTAGAACATTTCACGCGCCACATTCTATATTTTTTCGCGTTTTTGAAGTTCTGCAATTATTCATCTTGCTTCAAAACGACTCCGAGTCGAGAACATTTTCAATTTAAGAAACATATGACTAATTTTAAAATCCATAATAATTAATACTCAATTAGTAATAATAAATTCTGTTTTCATATAAAAAGTAAAATCATTAATGAACTGTACAGCGAATAAGTTTTTTATCAGATGCATACCTAATTAAAAAACTTTAATGCGAGGGAAAAAAGTTAGGGTTGTCTGAAAGTATATTCAGGTGCTATTTCTTTCTTTCCATACTTTGATTTCAGATCTAGAATGACCCCCCTTTCTGCGTCGAAAAATACGAGTATTTTAAGCATGCATCATCTAACTATTCTCTTCAGTTACGTCTTTGTTAGAATTAGGTGCCACATTCCTTTCTTTAACCGTGCAGTGTGTAACTTGGCTAATATGTATGATTAAAAATTTATTATTTTAGAATCTGAAGACTTCAGCGCTTTTCTCTTTGTTATTAAGCAAATGCTTATATCGTGATTCTCCTTGCAAATAATAGGGAAACCGGAAAGTAATGTCGCATTTTTACATTAAATTGAAACGAATAAATTTGTAACAAGTTTTATTTTTAATCAATAATATAATCACCCTCGTTATCAACAACCTTTTGCATCTAATGTGCAGATTTTCAATCCCGGACCGATCAAAATCAATTGGTTTTTGAGTAAAATATCTCGAGAGGACATTTTGGACATCATCCAAATTTTCAAATTTTTTGCCACTAAGAAAATATTGTAGGGATTCGAATAAATAGAAATCCAATGCTGCGATATCGGCCGAGTATGGTGGGTGAGTATGGCAGTACCTCTCACCTCAATTCATTAATTTTTTCCAGTGTTCGTCTTGCGCAGTGCGGTCTTGCATTGTCGTGTTGGGGAATGACGCCTTTTCTGTTGACAATTGATATTTTTCGATTACAGATTATTTCACTCCATCCAATTGTTCACAATAAAGGTCTGCATTAACAGTTTGTCCAGGTTTCAGCAATTCAAAATGAACAATTCCGCGAATACTCCACCAAACACCCAGAATCGCCTTTCGAGATGTAAACCCTTTTAACCCCTATTAAAACTGCTTTTTGAGTTTTGGATTATCATACAGGACTTATTTTTTTGTCTCCACTAATCAAACGATCAAAGAAAGGTTCTGTATGTCGCCGTTGAAGCAATACGTTGCATGTGATGGATAGGTTGGCTTTGTTCTTTTCGGACAGATTATGGGGGACTCAAACACCTTCTTTGCTTATTTTTCCATTCTGCTTTATATGTTCTTGGATGGTCGACTGAGTTTGGTTAAGAGTGTTGGACATGGATTTGCTTCCACTTCTGCCTTTAGCGTGTTGTTGTCGACATGTGCAGAAACGACATTACTTTTCGGTCCCCCTATTATTTAGCTTTCTCCTTTCAGATAGTCCTGATCATAGTGTCTTAGCCAGTGTTATGTCATCTTCTTAACAGAGGATAAATTTGATTAAAATCTAGTTGTTGGCTGCAAAGCACTGCTCTGAAAATGCGATCCAGCTTCTTTATCCTTAGGAACAAAATAAATTTCATTTTATTTCTGATTTTGAGAGGATAGAGTTTGAGACTACTTTTATAATAACTGCATTGGAAATAGGAAGACGAACTCCTTCAATAAAAACAGAATGATAAAAGTTTCTCTTGGGGGTATTAATAGATTCCGAAGATTCTACCTTTGCTTCAAAAATATTTGTAATTTTTTATAAATACAATTTATTACGATATAACCTTATTCCTAAATACAAATGTATCTGAATATAAACATATCTCTACATTTCATGCCAATTAAATATTTATTGCTTTATACGCATAATGATTGAGAGATAATTGTACATAAAAGCATTTTATGAATTTATACTGACTAGAAGAAATTTATTTTTCAGTATCGTGAAGTGAAAGCAAAAAGTGATTCCCGAATGGATGATCCTACTTCCCCAGACAGTGATACATCGAGTAGCATTTTTACTGAAAGAGAAACATCCAGGAGTGAGGTACTAAAACATTATTTATATTACTGAAATCTTTCTTTTCCGTTCTAGATTAAATACACCATCAATCGTGCAAAACTACGTTCCTTGTTCCTGATTTCCATGTGTAATTTCTGAACCACTGTTTCATAGTTTATTTCACCATCAGTATTCACTTTCATGACACGAATAATTTATGGAATGTAGCATATCTTTCATAATATTTTCATGTAATGCTATGATGATGTATTGTCATTAATATTAAGACTGCACAACGGTTTGGGAGAAGCAGCTAATAAATGGAGTAAAAAATGCAGTCTACTTCATTGACCTTTCCAATATTAAATAGAATGAGCAAAAGTAACAGAAAACTATGTGTTGGAGACGTGGTCAATGCAGATGATTTCTTCTACTCTGCACTTATTTACATAAAAATTTACAATTCTTCTGCCACTCTGCAGATACATATTCTAACGTACAGATTTTCTCTCACCCGGCGCATACATTTCATTAATTAGTATTATTAGACATCTACTTCTAATGCCATCAGCGATGAGATGCTCGAGATCCTAGCATGTCCGCTCCTTTCAAGTTAAGCAACGCAAATAAATTCCTTTTATGCGCTGTGCGAAACATAAGAAACGAGGTAAACAGTTTATTCTCAACAGTGAAAAATTCTTTTATCAGTCTATTTCAATAATCACGTATCAGAGGAGGACAGTGTAACGTAATAAGAGTATTCTGCGACCACGGAGCCAATCAGCGCTCGCAAAATTTAAAAGAATCGTATTTCTTAAACCTAGCGCATAGAATTTCTTTTGTTCTGGAGAGCTCTCCTCGCATGAAACAAATCCAAGTTCTATACCCGAAGTCATCGAGATTTCTCGCACCACGCTTCTGATTCGACTCATATATGTTACCACAAGCAAAGCCTCCTGTAGGAACATCGAAAGCACTGAACAACGGCGAGCTATAAATCAGCATCGCTCCGTAGACTTCCACAAGTACTATATTGTATGTACAACCGTTCACACTATAACCGAAATGTACTATTTTGCTTTGAAATTAATACCTCTAAATAAGGGCTTTCACACTATGTACGTTTTTGAAGCATAACAGTGAAGTTCCAAATAGTCTTTCTTGCCGATTTTTCAATTATTGCTGAACTATAAAAACAATCAAGCTAATCCAGCTGAAATTATTGATGTTAATTTTAAAGAAATTAGTTTTTTTTTTCCAGACTAAAGTCCTTTAAACAGAATGCTAGTGTGTTACATTTGTAAACTCGAAAGTTTAAGGAGACTTAGATTAAAATTCAATGTAATAATAATCTTTTATTCCCCCTTTTCTTTTAAGTAAAAAAAAATAGTTTTTTCTTTATGTAGTTTTTTCGTGAAAAATTGAATCCCAGTTTAGCTCATATTTTAACGGCACTGCAAATTTCTTAAGAGTTTTATTAAAAGCTTGACGTATAAATGTCTTGTTGTAATATTATTAATCTTTCTGTAGGTATCCACCAGCAGTTCCAATAGAGTTGCCAAGAGTGAAACAGAAGAAGACGAAAGCTCGGATTACGTCACAGCGACAGATCACTCTCCGCATTCACCTCACAGAATGTTAGCCACAACGCGGAAGAAAGTTCCCACCGATGAAGATGATGTTCCCACTTCCTTCGAGAGCTTCAGTTCCCCATCCAAAAGCAATAGCCACCTACATGTCAAATCCTCCACATCCTCACCATCTCTTTTACCTTATGACGAAGCACCTGCTTCACCAGATCACCATCTCGACGGTAAGAGGAATTTCATTGCGACATTTATCAGTTTTTCTGTGACGAAAAGTGATAGAGGATTATATCTTTAGAAATAGAATAGACATGCATTTTAAAGGACAAGTTTTCATTTCACAGGAATTAAATTACCTACTTTCGTTTTTTACTTGTGCTTAGAGTTGGGATTATGTGATTTAAACAAGACATAAAAATATTTGTCTAATAATTTTCATCTAATCCGGGTTATCCGAATGAATAAGTTCGACGGGACGCCCATTTCGGCATCCTCACAAAGAATCATTTATGGGCTATAAATAAATTAATCATTGATCACAGAACTCTGATAAATAACTTTTGCTCTGCACTATATCTCATTAGTGATCTAGAATATTCTAAGTGCCATTACTTTTTTTAAAATAACTGAGATAAAAAAATAAAAATAAAATACAAGCTCCCCCCCCAAAAAAAAAAAAATCTGAAAAATTTTAGATTTTAAATTACGTCCAAAGGGGCTTTTTTTTAACGTTTTGTGTGTTACCTTTATTTATTAAATATCATTTTCACTTAAACCATAAAATTCAGTTCAGTAGCAATGTCGCAAAATAATTTTAGAATGAGCCTATCTTTAGAATTTCCGATACACAGTTTCGCGCCCGCTGGAGATAAAAGGTTCCCCCCCCCCCGTAGAATGTTGCCATTGCTCGCTTTCAAATCGTTGAGTTTGTTACTCAAAAATTCCTTTTAAAGTTTTACAAAATATGAAATCGATAATAAAACAAATTCTAAATTTCAAATTTGGTCTTCTACATGCCCGTATTCGTAGGAGGATTACGTCATTCAAAATTTCATGGCTGTATGTACCATTGTTTTATTACAATGCGAGAAATATACATACATTTATGCAGATTTTTATTATTTACTTTCTTCAAATATAATGCAGGACTCTAACATTGGGTGGCAACAGTTTGAAAAGAGAAACGGACATTTATAGTGATTCAACGCAAAATCGCAAAACGAAAACAATAGTCCTTCAGGGACAAAGCCCCTTTGCACTAAAAACTACAAGAAACATGAGTGCAAATTCGTACTTACAATGATGCTCATTATGCCCAAGTTGCATATACTACATTTGCAAACTGAAATGAAATAAAAATAAAAAATACGCTTATACTTCACCCATATTCAATTCGGTAAAAACCGCATGCAGATACCAAAACAGAATAAAAACAATGTAAAAACAATTCAAAAACTAATCCAACTGTGCGCTGATAACAGCAACAAGTGACGGTAAGAATGAAAAAAATAATGATGGTAAAAAATGAAATAAAATAAGAAATACGTTTAAACTTCATCCTCTATTAAATTATTAAATTCGGAATAATTTATATGTGCACACACACACACACACACACACACACACACACATATATATATATATAAAATAATAGTTGTAGGTAGAAACATTGCAGCGATCTTGCTAAAAAGTTACCAGGAGCTGTAGCTCCAAGAAATATTTTAACGCAGTATTACCAAAAATAAAACTAAGAAGAAATTTGTCTGGAAAAACTGAAAAAAACTGTAAACACGCGAAAAAACCGTTTTCTACCTACTACTATTATTTCATATCATTTTGCAATGCGCAAAAATTTTTAAGACCAAATAGGTCTTACGTCTAATTACTCGTTAGCTTCACATTTTCTTTTTCAATTTTATATATATATATATATATATATACTAAAAAGAAATATTGATTATATTATTTCCTAATATAAATTTAGTAGAAGTATCGAAATTAGTAGTTTTCGAACCAAGTGAATTTAAGGTCATACAACATATATATATACATAAAACATGTGTCGGAATGTGTAAACTTTTATAAGGGAAAACGCTTATTTAAAATTTTTTTAACTTTTTTGAAATTATTAAGAAATTTCTAAAAATTATTTAAAACATATTCAGTATTTCTAGTTCTAAAGATTCAGTATTTCTAGATCTAAATCAGTTCAAAACGCGAATTCATATTTAGGCCAAAGGGCATTAGCCCAAAAGGGCTATTAATTTCGTTTTGGCATTTTGCATTGATTCACTATAAATGTTGGTTCACTTTTAAAATTTTTGCCACCGAATATTATCGCCCTGTGTTATATTTAAAGAAATTAAATAATGAAGAATCTGCATAAATGTATGTATGTTTCGCGCATTGTGATAAAACAACAAATTATATCTAGAGCCATCAAATTTTGAATAACGTAATCTTTTATCAAATACGGGCATCTTGAAGCCCTAATCTGGAATTTGAAATTTTTCTAATTATCGATTTCATATTTTTTAACATTTTAACGATATTTTTTAACAAACTCAACAATTTCAAAGCGAGCAATGGCAACACTGAACAGGAGGGGAAAAAAATTACCTCTAGCGCGAGAGACTGTGTATCGAAAATTCTAACGTTATGCTGATTTTAAAATTATTGGCGATATTGCTGTTGAATTGAATTTTATGGTTTAAGTGCAAAGAACATGATATTTAATAAATACAGGTAACACACAAACACACAAAACGTTAAAAAAAGTCACTTTGGGCGTAATATAAAATGTGAAAACTTTCAGATTTTATTTTTTTATAAATAATTTCAAAAATAATGAATAATAGAGCCTGTTTTATTTCCATCTATCCTCTAGTCCGATTAAATAGGGTGAAACACAGCTTAGTTAAAAATTTGTAATTATGAAATAAAAGAATACCGATCTTTTCTTGGCTGACTTTGGGAGGATTAGTCTTCATGTATGTATTGAATTCATTTATTGTTTAACCACATTTCCTTTATTCAGGTTTCGAAATGTTTAGTTAGCTTTAATTTAATTCTTGTTAATTTAATCAGTTCTCTAATCTTACATTTTTAAAATATTAAAATTTGTTAATATTTTTTTTAATTTCGATAAAGTTTTTTTGTTGTACATGTTTACACGTTTCAATTCATGTTTTAATTTATGTGTATTATGCTTGTTCTCTTTGTAAAGTAATAATTTACTCATTATGTATTTGGACAGTAAGTTTTAATTTGCATTCATTATATTAACACATAAATACTATGTATATATATGTGTGTGTGTGTAATAAAGCAAATATATGTAATAAAATAATTTTATTAATATATATATATATATATAATATAGATATATTTATTCGGAATATATACATATATATATAAAAAAAATTATTACATTATATATATATCCAGGTTTCGAAATATTTAAATAATAAAATTAATATTTAAAATAATAATAATAAATTAATTCTGAATAAGGTCTTAATATTTAAATAATAATATATAAATAATATTAAATATATATTAATATATATATATATTATATGTAATAAATTATTTTATTACATATATTTGCTTTTATTACACACACATATATATATATAGTATGTATGTGTTAATATAATGAATGAAAATTAAAACTTAATGTCCAATTTAAATGTTTTAAAAGATTTTTTTTAAAAATTCCAAAAATATTGAATAAGTTATTCGCTAAACCACCAATAACCAATATAACTAAATACATAATGAGTAAATTATTACTTTACAAAGAGAACAAGCATAATACACATAAATTAAAACATGAATTGAAACGTGTAAACATGTACAACAAAAAACTTTATCGAAATTAAAAAAATATTAACAAATTTTAATATTTTAAAAATGTAAGATAGAGAACTGAATAAATTAAAAAGAATTAAATTAAAGCTAACAAAATATTTCGAAACCTGAATAAAGGAAATGTGGTTAAACAACAATGAATTCAATCATACATGAAGACTAATCCTTCCAATGTCAGCCAAGAAAAGATCAGTATTCTTTTATTTCATAATTACAAATTTTTAATCAAGCTATATCATATTCGGAAATATATATATATATATATATATATGTAATAAAAGCAAAAATTCAGAGGATTATTCATGTAGAAACACTGAGACGTAGAAAGGTAGCAATGTTGGTTGGCGTAATTCATACTGAAGAATAAACTTGGTAGCCGAGTAAAATTAAATTTCATTTTTATTTCCAATTGACATTTGTGGCTACGATCACTTGGCACTCTAGTCGTGCCTAATCACGAACATTTACATTTTTGATACTTTTGCGATAGAAAGGTAGCTCAGCAAAATTACGTCCTAGCAGCTAAAGTGCGTAATTATCCAATATGGAAGCACACGAAGAGGAACGTTTTGGTTTGAGTTAGAAAAGTTTCAGCTCTCAGAATTTAGATTATCAACGTTACGCAAGCATCGTGCCATATATTAATGTAAAAGTGACGCAATCCAGAAATGTTATTATTATTTTTAGAATGAAGACGGGAGTTAAAGGGCTACTATTAATTTTTTATCTGAAAGATAAATATTTTATATGTTACATATATATATATAAATTTGCATTCTATGGTAGGAAACCTGTACGTGTTTTTCAAGTGCACTATAATGAAATTTATAACGTGGTAGAAACTGCAAGAAATCTCTAATCTTTACCATACTGCTTGCATAATGGGTTTTAATTCCGAATATGATGCAAGTAAGTGCGAAGAATTCCTAGAGCACATATACCTTTCTCCTACTTCTAACCACACTCAAAATCTTATCCTGACACGTTTTACAGACCTGTGTTCAGCGAAGACATGATACTTACAAACATTCAGACTTCAATTCAGACCCATCTGCGACAAAGTTATCTTTGATTGACATAAAAGCTTCGATTTAACACTATTGTTTCTATTAGGCTGCTTGTGTCAACGATCTTTCAGCTAGTGTCACAGGCAATATAAACACAATAAATGGGATAATACTGATAGATTCAATGCAGTAGGTCACTGAACTGAATAATGTCCAAGTTCCATTAATTCTTTTCCATCCATTACAAGACTGAGTACTAAGTTCATTGTTACCTTCAATTCAATGCGTTTAATAGCTTATGTTTCTTTGACATTGTTAACTTAATGCTGAATTGAAATTGTGAAAAGTTATTTATTTTATTTTATTTGCTTTGTATTACGTTATTTTCATAGTATTTCTGCTTATCAATTATTTATTCATTTATACCGCCCAGTCGGTATTGTGTTTTGGGAAGCCTGACTGCGATACCGAAGGGCCTGGTTTTGAACCACGGAGAAGGCATGGTTGTAATTATCTGTCCCTTCATAGGAGGCGATGGTGCCTCCATAATAGACCTATTAGGTGCCTCCATAATAAAGAGACCACCACATCTGGCCTTGTATAAATTAATGGACTGTGTTACACTGTAACTGTTCACAATCTGACATTGGAAAAAATTATTATTACATGTTATTAGATAATGATAATTCAAACTATGGATAATTGATTAGTCGCCATTTGCAAACTTCAGGATAATTAGGATTCTGCTTCAAGGATATTAATCTCGTTAGGTAAGGTAACGCCTTTAAGAGCATTAATCCCCTTAGATAATCTGCTTTAAGGGTATACAGTTAAAATAACTATGATGCAATAAAGACATTTATCTAATAAATTAACTTTTCCCGTCTTTTATGCTAGTTATCCAAACTACGTTGCATATGGGATCTATCCTTCTTTTCATAATTTTTCTTTCCAGCTCTTTGGAGTGTTTTTCCTGTAATGTACTTAATAAAGTACAGAACTTGGAAGCTCTTAACCTGTAAATGAGGATCGAAGGTGCTAAACACTGTTTCATTTAAATCCAGTCTAATACTCGTTCGCTGTCATCTTTCCATTTTGTGACTTGATGTGCAGATTGTCTATATCTTTGTAGTGAAATTAGGCTCCGAGTTTACTTTTTAAAGCTCTGAAGCCTGTGTCAGCCATATTCTACCTTGTTCCGTGAGTGCTATATCATTCCAATCAAGGTAGAAATTGTAGAATGTGAATTCCAGACCATCTAGTGGGAAGTAAACTGAATTAGAATCTTTGTACCTTTCCCTTCGTGTAATCAGTGTTCCTGATACCTCAAGGCGACCAACGGATTTGATGTGTAAGGGAAGACTGAACATCTTAAGAATTTTTGACAGCTTAATTACAATTCTGAAAAAAAAAATTTAAGCATGTTTGGGATTAGATTCAAAATAAATGTTCTACTTTTTTAATGTGACAGTTGTAAATGTATTGCTACATTTTGAAGTGAGTTGTCCTGGTCTGTAATTAAATATTTTTAAAGTTACCGATGTGTTATTTCTATTTAATTTCTATGCTGTAGGTTTCGTTAGCTTCGCATTATGTTCACTTTAAAAAATGTAATGCTTGTTATGTATAAATATAAAAGGAATTACGGATTCATTATCAAACTTAAATTATGATTTTATATTTGATGGTATGGATAATGGCTGGATATTTAGCAATAATAAACTGCTTGAGATATTTCAGTATATTTTTAAAAGAATACCTTATTTTTAACTCATCTCATCTCTCTTACAATGAAATTAAACGCAACAAAATATTCGATAGAAATTTCATGAAGAAATCTCATCTATAGAGCAGTAAATTTAAGGTTTTAAATCTCTTGTTCGGTATTGTTTTTGTGTAGCAAAACGTACTAACATTTTTTAATTTCTTATTGAATCGTTTGTATGAATGTTATCTTCAGATTTTGGTAGGAATGGATTTGACTTAAGATTCAAATTAAATAGCTGAGATTTTAACTATTAGCAGAATTTGGGGTATTAAATTGTCTGAGATATTCTTGAAATAATTAAGCTAATTTTCTTATTCAGGTGAAGGAACAATGGAAGAAAGCCATACGCCGACACGCAGACGATCGACGGAAGCAGACGACATCAGCATTTATTCCTCTGCTGCTTTACCCCCTGACGACCTCGAATCTTCAGACGAATCTACGAAGAAAGAAACTCCGCCCACCACGCCTTCAACAGAATCGGAAGAAGGACATATGCCCTTTCTCAAGTAAGTATAACTTTTGACAGGCGAAGCAATAATTTGTTTCAGTGGAAAAACTGAAATGCATAACAAATTACTCCTAGTAAAATGAGATTAATGTTATTTTGTAAGATGATTTTGTGTATGATTTCGATGCTGACAGATTTAAAGAGCAGGAAATTACTTGCAATGGGTACTGTCCTAGGAAGGATTCTTACAAATATTTCTAATAACATTTTCTGTTGTTCATTTCGCGAATTTGAATTAAACAGGAAAACCTCTATTCCAGGGTATTCAAAAAACTAACTTTCTTATACAGCTTTTCATTCTTAAGGATTGATTTTAATTTGGGAAGTTAACAGTATTTTTCAAACGTATTACAAAATTGAGAGATTACTTTTACTGAGCCATTATATGACCGTCTTTTTTTTATAACATGTTTATAGTTAGCTGTGTAGAATTAGACTATTAGAGGCTATTAGAATTTTCGGTATCAGAAACCTGAAGAACATCAATTAAGCTTTCCGGAATCAAACCACGCGTCTTCCACATGGACGTGCTCGCCCCTTACACGGCGAGAATATGCACGAGAGAATGCTATAATTCCTTACGGCTGATTTTTCACAATTATCTCCTCCTTCTACTCCCATGATAGTTTTAAACACTTAGAATGTAAATATGTTTTAGTTATTGGGTGCTAAGAATTTGTCGCTAAACTACCAATTTTTAACTTGGTAATAGCTTCACTTGAATAGGAACATTGCTATTTCTTGTTTTCCAAATCTTCAGTAGCTTCTGGGTTTTTATAACTTAAACAAACGCATGAAAAAGCAAATAAAAGTGTTTCTTGTGTTAATTAAAATTGTTCAATAATACATTCTTCGAAATGCTTTGCATAATTCTACACTTTAATAGCAGCCGTAATGTCAGAAAAAGATTCGTTTTTACGCAACTATGTGCTGTTTAATCTCATAGGTCAAATGCCACACTTTCGTGTTCTACTTAAAGTCTTTTAGAATATATTATTAATGTTGCTAAAGTGTGAAGAAAATACTTATAGAGCAGTTTTTATTTGAAATGTAAACATTTGCAGTCATTAGGTTATTTTTAATCCAGAAGATTTGAAAAATGTGCATTGCTCTCCCTGGGACTCGAACCTGGACCTCTCGAATACGCGCCGAGTATGCTGACCGTTACACCAGGAAAGCATGCTTGAAGTAGGGAGAAAATACCTTATATACTCCCCAACGCCAAAACCAAAACCTGGTGGTGAGAAAACCTGGCGGTGAAGAATCATCATCCACCACGTTTTCGTTCGGCGGTCACTGTAGTGGCATTAGGTATTTTTCAAGCAGTGAGCAATGCCCTCGCTGGGACTCAAATCTGGAACGAATACGTGCCGAGTGAGCTGACCGTTACACCACAAAGGCATGCTGGAAGGAGGGAGGAAATACCTTATACATTTATTATCTAATGATGTAAGTAAAATTCAGCATAGCACGCACAATGCTCGCCCCAGTGCTGGAGCTGCTATTCCTGAAAGATGTATCACAGATGGTTCAATAAATCGGGTAATGTAGCTCCAGTTACTGAAGACGTTGACCTCGTAACTGACTGTTGATAAGAGAGAAAAGTGGTGTTAGAAGATGAAAAATCTGATAAATGAGGTAGTTATGGTATGCAAGCGTTCTGTGTTTGGTCAAAAAAATTTCTATTTCTTTGCTAAAATTACTGCAGCTCGAGATATGACATCGAGTCGAATGGTTGAAAGACACTTTAACTTTTTCATTTGCATTGCAACACGAAGTATGCTCTTCGGGATGGAGTCATTTCATGGTTTTTTACTATAGAAAAGTAGGTTAAGTGCTCTAACGACTAAACTGAAGTACTGTAGATCTGGAACATGGACCTTATAAGAGATAGACTAACCCAGTCGGCGGGGCGCGCGTCACCGACATCTCCGCAAGAAAGAGTAGGGTCGATCTGGTTTACTTTAACACTGAAACCTATGGCGTTTGTATCACATAACTGTTTTTAATTATTAAATGTGATACGTTGTATAGTGATGAGATTATGAAAGTCACAGTTTTTTCAAATAGGATTTAATACATCTCATTAAAGCACTTTTTACTGCATTTCACGTATTTTTTTCACGCGTAATTAGTAGGCATACGGTAAACATCTTTACTTTGATAAAACGGTTAAAACTCTAAGCAGAAAATATATGAACTTAATTTTACGGAAAAATAAAGTAAAATTAAATAAGATTGATAGTATGTGATGCTTTGAAATAAATAAGGTAAAATTAAACAAGATCTGATATTTTTTTTTTATTTAATGAACATTTTCAGGCAGTGATTTTCAAAACTATAATAACATTACAAAACAATTATTTATTATTAACATTAAAGTGGATTATTTATTTTAGTAATTTATAAAATTCGGAGCATAAAATTTTCTGAGTGTAATGAAGGGGTGAAGGAAAAGATAAAATAAAATCTAGAAGCACTCAGATTTTATATTACACCCAAAAGGAACCTTTTTTTAACGTTTTGTGCGCTACCTATATTTATTGAATACCATATTCTTCTCCCGTAAGCCACATTTGAAACATCGCCCGTAAACCACATACGTTTGAAAACAGCATATCTTTAGAATTTTATTTTCGCACTGGAGATAAAAAAAATTGTTATTTTCCGTACAGTGTTCCGATTGCTCGCTTTAAAATCGTTGAGTTTGTTAATCAAAAATTCCGTTAAAGTTTTACAAAATATAAAATAGATAATAAAACAAATTCGAAATTCGGCCGTCCAGATGCCCATGTTCGGTTGGAGGATTACATTATTCAAAATTTGATGGCTCTAGATACCGTCGTTTTTGTCACAGTGCGAGAAACATACACGTATTCATGCAGATTCTTCATTATTAATTTTTTAAATATAATGCAGGGCGATAATATTTGATAACAACAATTTTCAAGGAAACACGGATATTTATAGTGAAACAGCGCAAAATGCCGCTTCGAGCTAAATTAACCGTAAATAAAAAAAAATCTTATGCAGAACTAAAAATAAGTTTAAAAAATAATCACTGTAAAATACAAGCAAAATTAATTATTACAGTTAAATACAATTTTAATATTAGAATTAAATGTATAAAAATTAAGGAGTCAAAAGTGTTTATCACTATGATGTATTATGAAATATAATTGAAATAAAATTCCTTTATAGAAATCGTGCTATAATACTCATCTGTAATTTTAAAAAAGCAGCACAATTTAGAATTTTAAACAAAACTTTCAAAAATTCGTTTTTAAATATTTTAGTATTTTTTACTTATTTACACCAATAAAATGCATAAAAATTGCTTGTTTGAAATTTTCTATTAGTTCAGATTAAAAATATAATTTTCTAAAAGAAGTAGTTACAAATTTCCCTACAGCATAGGAAGAGCTAAAAAAAATATCCAGCCCTGAAAGCATGCAATAGCTCTATAACTATTTGGAACACTAATTATGCTTGATAAATATGCTAAATTTTTAAAAATCAATCTCAGTTTCAAAAATAAAAATATGTAGAAATTCTAATTTGTGAAATGATGCGCTACAACCAGCTTTTTCTTGACAATTATACACGCTGCAATAGGCAACCTCTGTTAAAATTTCTGCAAGTCGTACCTGCTCCTCCGGATGTGATCAGGGTGACAGCCGGGAACGCGTCAGGCGAGGGAGAAAACCCATTTGGTTTGGTCTATTTCTTATAAGGTTCGTGATCTGGAGTAAATGACATGACTTATTCCTGAATATTTTGAATAGAGGATATAATAAGTAAATATAGAATTAAAGTACTGCAGCAAATCACGATTCGAATTCTTCTTTCATTTAATTTCATTGTTGTAACAATGTGATAGTACAACTAAAATCGTAATCTACAAAATTTGTAATTCTTATAATGTGTCTGCTTTCCCAGTTCGAGTTTCTGCATCTATATTCACTTTTGCTCTGTATAGCTCGCATTATCTATCCTTAATAAAAGCCAAGAAGTAAACTGTAGAATATTATTTTTGTTAAAAGATAAAAATAAACTTCCACTTTATTCTTTCTAGTGCAGCCGCTCATGTAATACTGACTTGTAATGACATCATGAATGTTTTGCAATTCAGTATTGCTAATGTTGAGTAAAAATGTAAGCAAAGTACCAATATTTTCCTACAAAAAGTTTGATTTTAGAAACATCTTCAGCGTCATTTTTAATTTCGATACGAACAACACAAGCGATCTTTGGGAAAGTTATTTACTAGCCAAAGTGACAAATCTCGCTTGTCTGATATCAAAGCAATACCTTGAAATTCATCGTGGCAAAGAGGCAAGATTGTGGCTGCCATTGGCAAGAACCTTGGGCACCATACAGCTAACAGTACGATTTTGCTTAGTTTCGCCTCCAATTTTGAAGGAGGGAACCCAGGGGGACGTGTCCAAGGGTCTCACACCCCTCTTTCCCTACCATCAATCTCTCTAGAGAACTATATATTTACAAACATCCATACCTTCTCTATGTTTCGAACCCAGGTTTAGCTATTTTCCTTTCCTGTTCGGGAATTTTTTTTATGATACAATATATGAAATGGATATTATTATCATCTTTCCAAAGAGTATTCTCGATGTGATAAGAAATCAGAGGAATTAATGCATTAACATCTTTCTAACTCTGTGTGCTGTTATCAAATCCCCGTAAGCTGTTACTATTTGAATGTTAATTCTGTCATCAATACAGAATGAGTCCTTTATTGAAAAAAAAATTTCTAGCATTGATCTTCAGATACAGCTTATTTGACTAAAAGATCTTTTTATGTCCTCCCCCCAAAAAGAAGATTTTATTATATTTCCCAGTTACATAAATGCTTCAGTTTTTAATTACCAAAATTTGAAACTTTTACGGCGAAACATCTTTGAGGCATTTTTGTTCATCGTCTGAGGGACCTAAGTCATACAATTCTAACAATCATTCTTTTCAAGAGTCAATTTTTCGTAATATGGAACAAACTTTTATAAAGACTTTCACCAGAATAACGAACGGTTTACTCGTGTTTAGCACCTTTTTCTGAAAAGCTTCCACAAAAAAAATTTACTAAAATTTTCACGTTAGGGAAAAATTGCTATAAACCGAAAGGCTAGCTTAATAGATTTGTATTATTCATTTGAAACCATGGGTCTATGACCAATCGTATAAAAGATATTTTGTTCGTGTAATTATTTAAAGAAACAATGCTTTATATATCTTCTTTTGTAAATCGTTACTTATTTGTGAATGATCAAGCAGTAATGCGTCTTTTTATTTAAAACTGATAAATTATTTTTTAAAGAATTTGTTAAATTCCAAGTCCATCTTGATGCAGTTGTTTGGAAAATTATGTTATTGTAATATTTATTTAGCTAGGCTTACCTGCACAAGAATGTAAATCCTAATATTTATCAGAAGCAGTCTGACTTCTTGTTATCTACTTAATCACGATGATATTCATTTCATTCAATTTATAATGCTTAAATTTCGAATATTGTACGGCAATATGAAGTTGATTTTTGCGTGATTTTCTGCTCTCGAAATGCCTGATAACTGTCTGAAACTAAAATGAAGTGGTAGTTAATACATTTTCAATTTGATTTGGCCAATAGGCTATCATATTAGGTTATATTATTTGAATATGGCAAAGAACACTAAGTTATTGTAAATTTAATACATTCCTTCAATGTGTTCTTGTCATACAATGGTCGGTATATGCGCAGCTAGTAGTTGAAAGACTCATGTTCGATTCTCGGAGGTATTCACTTGAATTACACTCGATTTTTATTTATTTTTGAAACAAATCATATTGATTCAACTGTAACTGTTCGCTTATTACTCAAATATTCCATTTTGGTGGAAAACTAAAATGATAGTTCAAGACATTTACATTTCTTAGTTTATTGGTTCGTTACATAGTATAGGCAAAGTACGCAAAGCCTACCTGTTTAACAAACAAATTCCTTCGAAGACAAACAGGCTCATAGTTGCTTTGCACATGGAACAACTTCCAAAACTACCCAATGAACCATTCTGAGAAAAGAGTTCAAGTGAATACCTCTGATTATCGTACAATGCGTCTGTTTCTTAAGGTTGTTTTAAAAACATCCACACAATAAATAAAGCATTTTATAACAGATAAATCAAGCATCTTCTGAGTTGCTAACTATCTCATCAATGTCGGACAATAGTTTCTTCCAAAGTTCACGCGGATTATGTTTCTGAACTTAACCTGATTCAGAGATTCATAGAATCAGACAAGGGGCATGTGTTTCAAAGACAGCTTGCTTTCTGAAAGTTAGTTTAACTTTTTGTTTCACAAAAAATTTTAATTTGAGTATTTTTTCCCCTTTGTTTAGGTCTCAGCAGGGTACAAGTGGCACTCCGGATTCGGATCGAACCAGCGATATCACGCCTTTATTTGATCCATCTCCAGAGCCACTATCTAGCTTGCAGGAACAACAAACCGTCATCGAGATCCGAAGCGAAGCTACGTCGGAAGAGATATTGTCAATGGGAAACGATTACGATGATGACGAAATGGATCGAATAGATGACGAAGATAGGTATGAATTAATCACTTGCAGTTCCATGGCATATTAATTGTATAAAAATAATAGCAGAAATGGAAACTCGTTAAAGAATTTTCGGCAAGCAATGGAATGCTTTTAATAGTTATTTATGCACATAAAATATGAAAATGATTTTTAGATAATATTCAGCTTTAGATTAGAATATTTCGCTAAATTTAATTGAAATCTAAAACTGAGTCCAAAATATTGTCCATTTAAAGTACAAATTATCATGCATCTATTGCGATTATTCATTTTATTTTAAATTTGCTAGACAGTTATGTGATTTAAAGGAACGTTACAGAATACAAATCGTATGTAGAGATTCTCTTTTTGAACTACGTTATTTAAGTACACTTCGATCATGATTATACGTCAAAAATCCATTCACGTAATCTCCATCTGCAACATTAACACTTTTTTAAAAACTATTAGTTTTTTTAAGATTAACTAAATGCTTAGAAGAAAAAAAGAAAGAAATAGTAGTATAACAATATGGGGATTAGTCTTCTAGCTAAATCACTTCCTCTCCCAATCACTTTCCCTAAAATATTTCTTTATTAGATGGTGAGTCAACACTCTTAGCTTATTGTGGAAACAATAGAGACACAAAGTAAAATATTACACAAATTAAAATAAACTTCATTTCCTAACCACTGATGAGTTAACTTAAAATGATACAAATACAAAATTAAGTCTCATTGACTTTCAGCTACTGGCTAAAACGTAAAACAGTTTATCTGTCTGCAAAATCTACTCGAGCAGTAACAGTACTCCTAATCGAAGGTGCAGTTATCAACTGTGTAAGGCAACCTACTTTACTACAATTCCCACTTACCAAAACCCTTGATAAATATCAAGCATTCACTTTTAACCTAACAGCGGTTTGCCTTTGGTAAGGCAGACAGCAGCAGTAATAGCCAAAATAGCTACTGTAAATTATGCCGGTTATGAATTTTTCCTCTCAGTTCAAACTACGCCGTTAGCCATAAAATTTGCATATACCTCTGGACTAAGAAAGTATGCGACGGAACGAAAGGTAAAGTAGAGACTCAAAAATAAGTCAGAAATGTTAATTAAACTTGAATGTGACATTTGTGTACTTGAATGTGGGGTAACAAAGAAAGTGAAGATAGTATTGATGAAGTATAATAACTGATATTTAATCTATCTCATTAAGAAACATTTCTGTGGCTTTTGGCAAGTCAACTTCTGTAGCAGAAACATCCATATTAAAAACTTCAAATAATACGACTACTGTATAATTTTGTACCAGTTGCATACCGTTGAACGGCCTACCAGCGGCTGAGCGGTAAAGTCGCTGACCGCTGGTAGTTCGATCCGAGGTTCGAATCCCTCGAAAGGGCTGGCTGCCCTTTTGAGGGATTCGAACTCTTTTTCCCCATGTGTAACGTGTTACGAGACAGCTTTCCTTAGAAAGTCCTCACGAAGGCATCCCTACTCTTAGGCTGATAGCCCTCGAGTGCTTTGCCATAATCTAATAAATCAAATCATATTGTTGAGACTGTTTATTTTGACTTTCATTTTATAATATGCTACGTATCACTACGTAGTTTGCGAGGTTACCACTAAGAAGTTTCACAAAAGATATAAAGAAAAAATATTTTTGGAATCAGAAGACAAATAAGAAAATTAATATGTAATATAATGTGTCAAAATTTTTAAGAATCGGTGAAATTATTCAGATAACCTTGCGGTACTAAATAAATAAATAATTTATAAATAAATAATAACTAATCACTTTGTTAATAATTTGATATATAAATAAATAACTGTTGCCACTTTCTGAAAGAACAGAAGGCCAGGAAAACAATCCATCCATTATTTTCCAGCTTGAAGCGATGGATTAGAGGTGAAAATATTTGAGATATATCTGCTTTTTTGTAATTATTTTTGGTTCTGTTGAATCTATTGAGGTCTCGTAAAATATGGTAAAATGTTCTTGGGATGTACTATCCATATTTAAAAACATACGTTAATGGCCAAGTAAAAACTACCTAAGCATTCAGTTTTTGCGAAAATTTGACTGCTTTTCATCGGCTTGTTTTTCAGAAGGCTTAAATTTCAATGCTCTAAAATATTTTATACAAATTAAATGGAAGACCCTATTCCAAAAACGTTAAGATTTTTTCTAACATTTTTGGTAATGCCAGTTTCTTCAGTAAACTATTCCCATTAGTCCACTGAAGACACACCATTGGTATCATAGATTTTTATTTAGTTTAATATAACCTCTTCTTATTTTAAAGCAGATTGCCCATCATTTTCTTTTTTGGGTAGTTTTTTTATGTAAGTTACATATTCTTGGCTTTTATGTCATTTTATGCAGATTGCATATCATTAATCTCTTTATACAGGTTTCATATCATTAATTTTTGTATGATTTTATGTAGATTTCGTAGCTTTTATCTCGCTTTGTTTAAATTGCGTTTTATATAGTACGGCTTTATGCGATTTGCATGTTTTTTGATTTCCGTATCATATGACGGGCTTGTATCCTTGACTATTACTTGCTTTTTACAGAGTAGGTTGTGTATTATTCACTGTTTTTAGTTTGGGAATAATTGTGCATGTTATTTACTTTATGGTTTTAAGAATTTACAGTTACAGTTATGCTTTACAGTTATTTTTAACCTTGAAGACTGACTGTTCAATGCTAAGGCCAATAAACTTAGATCTACCTTGACTTTAGTTGCTTTCCTTGTGTTTATACTCAAAGAAAATCTGTCTTCGGAATGTACGATGGGTAAGAGATTCGGCTTCCTAAGAAACACAGTGCTTTAATATCTTCAAGGACCTTAAACTGCTGAGTTGGTAACCAGTTCTGTATGGATTATGTAATACTCTGGGACGGAAGCCAACTCAGCGGATTTCAGGATTTCAGTCAGCGCGGTTACTACTTCTTCCTGCGCGCATAGTACAGCAGCCAGTATTTCCTGATAGTACAATATATCCAATTAATTCCTTTAACCTCCTCTTTTGAGATAAAAGTGGCCACTTTATGCATGTTTGTGAGTTTTTCATCACGTATTGCCCTGAATCTGGGGGAAAAGTAAAAATTTGAGTATTTGCCTAAACAGGTTGCATAATTATTGATTATTATTTAGTTTTATACTCAATCTGGTATAATTAACTTTCATTCTATCTTTATTTTAGCTTTCCAAAAGGTAATGGTAGTCGTAGTGAGCGCGGTGGTGGATCAGAATCTTCTGAAAGCTCCAGCGTACTTTCTGGGCTTCAGGACATTGAAACTGCAGCCAAGATCGGGCAGGGAATTGACTCATGTCGACTACAGATGGGCTCTTTCCCACCATTAGACATTAGGAAGGCAGCTGATGAGCTGTCCACTGTGTCTGAAGTGTCTGAAGAAAGTAGTCGGAATGGTGTCGTACATGTACGAAGGTTAGGCTCTCATTTTAAATTTCACCGCAGCACTCTTTAACAATAAAATGCTCTAGGTATAAGCTTTCAAATTTATAGTAGTTTTTTTTAGTCTGTACATTGTTTTATACGACGAATTCGCTTGTACATGAATTAAAGTTTGAACAGTTTGTGTGAAAGCAAGTGAATTTCGAGTCTTTCGGTAAATGTTACTAACTTGTGCCCTGAAAACGGTAGCTCACTCAGTGCAGGTTTATCCATTGGGCGCTTGGGGTGGGCGCCCAGGTGTTCGGATAAGCTAGACCCAACCCTTTTTATGAGAATATTGTTTTGTTTTTTTTTATTTATATATATATTTATACAATAAAAATATAAAAATTTAACAAATAAAGTTTTGTTTCATTTGTTAGCAAATCCAAGAGCCCCTTCTGGGATTCGCCAGTGCGAAGGGGGCCCGTAGATCTTCTGCGCCCAGGGCCCGAAATGAACTTAAACCGGCACTGAGCTCTCTATTCTATTAGTAAGTTGTAAGTGTTACTTACAATAACGCTTACAGCTGGCTAAATAAATGCAGTGGAATGCTAACTCACAATGTATCATTTGGTTAGACTTAGTCCTTTTTAATTTGCATGAAATCACTGTCTATGTCGAAGATATCTTTCTAAACGATTGAAGACTATGTATAGTTTTCAATATGAAGCTCATTTCCTTCTTTCATCACAAAAGTTTCTTAAATGGTGTTAGAATCGAAACACTTAACAAGTTAAGGAATGTTTTCGAATAACCTGCATCAAAGAATTGTAGTTCTCTTACAAACAATCAGGCTTGAATTTGGAACATACGTAGTAGATAGTTCATTTTTTACATTATTGAAAATGCACTACGATTATGGAACGACACATGGAAATGGGCGTGATTTTATATAGCATAGGTCCATCTTTACTAGTTGACAGGCTAAACCTGAAAACGCGATGCTATCTTTTACCACCTTTACCTGTTTTTATTTTTGTGACGTCTTCTAATAAGATATTCATAATCTTACCTGTAAAGTCAACCATACATGCACTGTATTAGAGACAATATTTTAGATAATCGAGGAAAGGTCTTCATTCTGATTTCTGTAGCATAGATTAAAAGATCGCATTCTATACGTTGTGGTATCCGGCTATCATAAACGCACCGAAGGAAGCAAACTGACAAGGAAATATCTTTCATATTCTATGCAACTACTTAAAATAATGATGACGACTACTGAAAACTAATGATGATCACAAGTCAGGCATTATATATCGCAAACAAACACGGGGCTGTACTCAAGGCTCTTTTACGGATTCTTGTTTGACTTTTACTCAAGTTCTAACTGCAACATGGCCGGACCATACATGTATTTATGCACATGCAGATGATGCCGCACAATAGTTCAAGTTGGAACCACAGCAGAATCCGAAAGAAGTCTGTGATCAGTTCTAAAAATTATGCAGCAGTCTAAAACTACAAATAGCAAGTAACAAATCTTAAATATTTCTGAGGATGAAAATGAGAGGCTCCTTAACACACAGACCCTGCACTGCAGTTCATAGGATCAGATTAAAAATAGTTAAACAATTAAAATACCTTGGTTTAATATTCAACAAAAAAAATTAACCTGGATACAGCAAATACAAGAACTAAAGCAAAGAACTCAAATAATTGCAAGAATACTCAAGCAGATATAAGATTACCAATGTAGGCTAAACCCACATATACAAAACGTGCTTTATCGAACAGTAATTGAAAACTACAGCATAGCATTTGAGCGCAAACCATACTAGCAAGAAACATAGGACATTTATTGAGCATACAGTGGCCCTTTAGCTTAAACATTACAAAAGCAAACGCTCGGCCTCTGCTGATCCCTTAAATGTTCTTGCGGGCCTTACTCTCTTCCTATCCGCATGCAAGCAAAGGCGGTAGTTTAACTGCTCGGACTATTGGGAACTCCAGCTACATACGATGAATATTTATTTATTTCTAGTAGCTGTGAAGAGAATGCAGAATATTTAATAGTGCATCCCTCCTAACACAACTCAGGAGTTACAATTAATATTAACCTTTTGAAGACGGGATGGCCATTATATCGGCCATAGAGTCCTCTCTTTGAAAACACGGGGTTGTCCACTTTAGTGGCCATGTCTTTTTCCCCCATTTTCCAGGCTGAAAAGTGGGGTGAAATGTCAAATTTGACGTCCCTAGGGTTTTAACCACGTATCTCTTTCAAAGGTCTTCCTTTTGCGACATAGATGCACCCCTCTGAGAAATCATTAAATTACACACAAGAATCTTTGTTGCAAATAGGAGGTGATTTCTTAAAGGGGGAAAGCATTAGGTTCAAGATTCCCCGTCCTTTGGCAGCTTTTACTGCTACCAAAGCCCCGGCCTCAAAAGGTTAAACCATTGGAAATTAAACAAACTCTCTATCATCATATCAGATTTTGATATCTTCACTGATGGATCGAAGATAGACGGCCATGTAAAAAGTTTCAATATAGTAATCGATCGGTTGAAGTATATCAGTAGAAGAAAAAACTTCAAATGAAAACAGTTTTTTCTAGGCAGAGGCCATAAGCATCAGAGGGGCAATAAAATACCGGCTACTGAACCAAAACTACCATACCACCATTAAATACTATTTAATGGATTAAAGCTCACATCGGTAACAACGGCAAAGAACTTGCAGAAAAGTGGCGAAGGAGGCAGTGAGTAGATTCTTTGGGAGAATACATAAACATCCAGTTACTGAAATCCCAACCTCAAAAGAAGCCTCAGTCTGAAAGCACTCGCAAAATGGCAAGAACTGTGGGATACAGAAGTATAAGGTTTTCGAACACATTATTATGCATCATACGTTGACTAACAAATATTAATAACCAACCCACATTTAATCCGCTGTGTATCGGCTTATGACACGTTTCCTCTATATTTCGTGCGATTTGGGATCTGTGATACGGATCTATGCTGCTGAGGTGACATAGGTACACCGGGCCATCATATTCAATGCCCACTAACTCAAGACTTGCACCTCAGAATACCAGCGATACAAATGTGCAAGCATTCTGCAAATACACGGTCAAGCAGAAACATGTGTTAATCAAAATTACAAAGATCATTATCAAACTCTTCAAACTTGGGACAGACTTCTGCCTTGCAAGGTCCTTCCAGCAACTACAGTCCTATACTGTCATGACAACTGTCCTCTCTCAGGTAGATTACACAGCTTAGATAGCAACAATATCTTGTATTATAATAACTCCATTCAAATGAATGCGTTAGTATCAGTGTTGATTGCACTGAGTTCTGTACTTTACATAATGGTAGATATGGCGCTACATCGTTATGGTAGAAGAATGGTGCTCACGCTCTCCGTCAAAAAAAAAAAATCATAATCTTGTAAGGATCTTAAGTTTTACTAACGTTTATTTTATTTTAAATCTTTACTATCACTTCTTATTTTCTACTTCCGGCCAGAATTATAAGCGTGAAGGTATTTATGCAAAGTTTGTCTGGCGAACGCCAAGTATTTAAGTGTGGCCTTTTGCCAAGCGAGAGAGAGAGGAAGCAGTGAATCAAAGCAGGCCGCTTACCTTAGAAGTTACGCAGTTGCTGTTTGCCTTCCAGGCCAGAGGTTTTAATCCTCTTGATAAAATTCAAAACGTATTGTAGTGTTCACAGTCTCTGTGCTACATACGCTTCCTGTTATTATAAGGCCAATCTTCCACGTGTATTATTCTAAAGTTAAATTAGAGTTTAGTTTTTATTTTTATACTTTTACGTTAGACCCCAAGTGGCGGGTCAGTGTATTCCGAAGTACGGAAGTTATTGTATATAGAGAAAAATAAAGGGTTTTGTATACCCTTCGTCTGTATCCTGTCTACTTACCACAATTAGTGAACATAGCTTTAGTAAGCTCTCTGTTCCGAGTCGGGTCCTTGTATGTTCCCGAAGAAGGTTAGAAGGAGCATAGACCCTGATAATCTTATCTTCTAGTAATCTTATTACACACTGCAATCATTTACATGGATGTCTTAATCAGTTTCTCTAAAATTGTTTAAGCCACTTCTTTAAATATGAGTTGTGTCTATTTCCACAACCCTGTGACTCTTATTTTCAATAAAGATGTATTTGTAAGATATTTGAGTACTTTCAAAAAGGCGATTATAATCGACCTTATCAAGTTGTCATTTTACATAGATTTTAACCATTGTGTTTATGTGTAATTCTAGTTTAATTTAATGCATTCGCTTTATTTGTATATAAAGTGTTCTATTATATTAATTTTAATAAAATGAAAGGAATTGTCTTCTGTGATGAGCGTGAAATTTTTGGATATTACCACCATTTTTCGTTACAGCAACGAATTTTATGCTATAAAATTATTCAAAATTATTTATTAAATTAGTGTATAAAAAACCAAAAACAGTAAGATTTTTAATGTGTTAGAGCCCAAACAAGCTTCTGATAAAATTCATTCTAAACATTTCAAAATGTAATTCAACAGGAACATATAACGCTTAATGTTCTCACACTTTTTTAATTCTTCAATATTTCTACACTCCTTTTGCTGTTCAGGCTTTAATTTCGGATTTTCGTACTTAAAACTTTACACTGCTTGAATAGCTTCTAATCCTGCCATATTTTCCAAATACAGACTTACAGAAAAATACTAAATTTTCTTTATTAACATTTGATACTTTAATAGATATATCAATCTTTGATAAATCGTTAATTTTTCTATAATTCTCGAGCGCTTTTGTAGCTTTCAGTTTTGTAGCAAAAACAATGATAATTTTATAGTAAATACAGTTAAAGAAATTTCTTTTGAGTTACTCATATTTCTACAAGTTTCAGTCTATTCGAGTCAGTATTGAGAACTTTATGGCATTTTGAAATACCTTTGTCTCTACTGCATTATCGTTAAATTCTTTTATTTATTTATTAAGGTAACGAAATATTTAAGTAAAAGCGTTACATAATTGTGTTAGACTATTTAACGCTTTATTTGATTTTTTAGTGAAGGTAATGAGTAGTAATTGTCAGAATTTTTAAAATAAAATTCAACTACTGTCTTAAAAATTCTGAACTTATTTTAGACACATTTTTTCTTTGTCATATAACTTGCTTAGTTATATTTATATATGTATTTAATGCTGTCACCTGTAACTTTTTCTTTCTTTTATCGCTTTGCATTTGTACGAATCCTATAGGACATATATCCACTTAAAATCTAAACTATTTTTTCCTCCTATTATGCAGTTTCGGGTAATATAAGTATCACGTGACGTTTTTAAATATGGAGTGGAACAAAAGTAATATTTTAAAGCCGTTGTCTGTTGGTTTTGTAGGGAAAAATATATGTAAATCTTCAAAGAAAAGGAATAAAAAAGTAAAATATGAAATAAACTAAATTCTAATTTATGCCAAATAAAAGTAGACGTTACCTTTCTAAACTAATTTGGGATAAATTGTATAAAATCTAAAGAGCTGTGTAGCGCATTGCTCATAAAAGAAAAGCTCGATTGCTTAATGAGACAGAATTAAGTAATCCATGAAACAACAGGAATGGAAATTTCTTCACATCCTCTCCCCCCCCCGAGAATTCTACAAAGGAAGTTTAGAGAAACTATCTGATTTCGTCTATCAAGGAAAAAAATGGAGAAAAATTAATTGCAGCATCATTCGAAAAAGATTAAAATTTCGAATTTAAGAAGTTCAATTCATTAAGAAGATTTGAAATTGACTTTTCTCAATAAATTACTTTCGTTTTTCGAAAACTCATAAAAAGACCGAGTTCGAAGTATTGATAGGGTAACTGCGAGTTTTTGCTGGGTAATTCGAGAAATACGAGATCATATCAGACACATTGCACTTTTCTGTTCTTGAAAATTTAATTATTGTGAGTATACATATCCTTTTCCACCTTATCCCACAAATCTTCAAATGGATTGAAACATGATGCCGGTCAACTAAGCAAGGTATAGTCTTCATAATGATCTGTTTGCCATTTCTGGACTATGTGACTTATTGCCATAAGGTGTTTTGGTTCTACTGGCAGTATTCATCTCCAATGGCTTTATTCATTCTCTTAGTGGATGTACTTCATCAGTGATAATGTACCTTTCATCATTCACGTACTGTTCCACATTACCTGAAGGGCTTACGGGATACACATCTCCCAACCATGCTGATTCTCTTATCTTATAGTGCAATGAAAATACACTCACAGCCTGTGTTCTTGAGTAGTTTTTCAATATTATGCCATCCGCTTGGTGCACTGCTATTTTTACTGCCCTGTTCTTGTATTCTTATTCGAACTGGAGGCATTTGATCTTATTAGCTCTAGATAGTTATCTGCATATGTGTTGGCTTTCGAACAGATCTTTTGGCGTCCGTTTCTGGTAATCTGCAATGTGCGATAAATAATGCATTTATAGATCGCTAGATTTGGTCCCTTATCACAAATAGCAGCAATATTTACAATTAGCCAGCAATCTCTTACCGAACTGTATTTTTATCGCGTTAGACATATCTGGAAGCTCTTTTCTTATTTCGATCAGCTAGTAAGAGATTATATATACAAGCCTTACGTTGAGCCTTACCGTTTATCGTTCAGCAGTGCAATTTTGAAACAAGAACGGCGGCTGAGTTTGAATATTTTATACGTGCGACTGATTCCATTGCACTGCTTCGATACCCAAAATCAAATTCTAAGCCAGTCGAATCGCATTTTTACCCATTTCCTTTCAAACAATATACTTCAACCGCCTTTAGAATCATCTAGCAATGCCTTTTCATACGAATTTACGAATTTTAATCTCTAGCGGGAATCTCTAGCAATAGATTTGTATGAGCTTCTTGGGTAGTAACCAAAATATGAGTATGCTCACTCATGTTATATATATATATACGAGTATATACTACAGTTTTCGTAGTGCTTAAATAATGTTTTTTAATTCCTTCCTTCAATTAGAAATACATAAATATTTCTATTAATTAAGTAGACATTTCGTTAATTCATGATAAAATAAATTTCTTACGTAAGTCCTCATGGGTTTTAAGTTCTGCAGATTATACAAAATGTAATGTAGAATGTTTACATATTTTGTAAGTGTCACTAGGCCAGCTATTCTTGTATAAGGTGTTTGCTTTAGATATTTCCTGGAACATGCTTAAAAGCTTTACTTTTTTCCTTCAGTTAGTTAGTTTGGAATTTGAATTCTATAAATTTGAATATACATTGAGTGTCTTAATAAACGTAATATTTTAATATTTTTCACAAAATTTTCTATGTTTTTATTTCATCCCTCCATTATCTTATATAAAAATTCACAGTATTTATACTCAGTTTCATTAACGCTTTAGTTTGCCAGCAAAAATTTAATTAAAATTTTATATAGAGCTATGCAGTATATAAAACTTGTATTTGAACTCGTTAAAGTTTAAAATACACTATTTTGTTAATTTGAATTCAGTTCTCCCCTTCTCCTCTCAATAGCGTTTTTTATTTGCCATAGAAAGAAGTCAGAACACAAACCTTCAGAGGGCTCTTCTGTATCAGAAGAACAGCACAGCCATTTCGAAACTGCAAGAGGAGGTTTATCCTCTAAACATTCTTCTTCTTCCGAATATATCCCCTCGGAGACTACCACCCCAGACAGCACAACATCGGGAAGTTTTGTTTTGGATAATGGGTCCTATACAGAAAATGGATCCTATAACAGCTTGTCAAACCATGAAGAGAAAACAGCGGAATCCTCCGGTGGGATAACGGAAGAAATCAAAAGCAAAGAGGTAAGCATTCGTAAATACCAATAAATTACCATATTCTCTTGTAAAAGTATAGGTTTCTATTCCGATTTTTATTTTCCGCTCCTCTTTCTGATAAACTACCATAGTTATCCATGTTAAGGAATATTCTTTGATATCGCCAAGAGATGGCGTTAGGAGTCCATCTATTGGCTTACTTGACCTTTCCCCTTCTGAACACGTGACTTGAAAAAATATTCTTCTTCTTGAAGGTAGAATTTCGATGCACTACGCAATAGAATTCGATTTAGATATTAGCTGGAACTATTCAGTTATTGCCTTTTGAGCCTTAAATATTCGATTCAGGCATTTTATCCAACATTGTATATATGTAAATATTAAGCCTAATTAAAATTTATGGAAAACCCTCCAGGCCATGCATCTCGTCTTTTGGATTATGAGTGATTCGACTTTGATCTAGAACTTTCGTTACATCCATGCTTTTAACTAGTTTAATAAATCATATATCAATTCATATGTCTTTATTTCAAATAAAGTACTTTCATAAAGTTATCCCATAACAAATGGTAGTTTCATTAGATCCTAACAATCCTGCTGATAATAACCAGTTTTGAAATACTACATAAATATACAAACTGTTATGCAAATTTATTACATTAATAATGCACTCAACGCATGAATATTATGCCAAAGTATCTTAAGTCCTGAAATTGACAACTTTCACTTCCAGTTTGTTATATTAACAATGTATAATTAAAAAAAGAAGATTAAATTAATTCTAACCGCAGCATACTTTGAATTATTTTAAACATATGTAATGTATCTTTATAAAACTTCAGTATTTGTTAAGAAATTCTTTCGCCTTTCTGTTGTGGACTGTAAGAAGTAATTTTATTGCTTAATTCAAATCTGATAAGTTGCAGATTAGCCTTGCTATTAAATAGCATAAGAATCTCTGTATTTTTTTGCTTGTTGTAATCTACCATTTTCAAGACTTAACTGGCACAATTATGCTGTTTGGAATACAAAATCAATTATTCCTAGCAAATACCGATGCATATGATCATTAGTTGTTTCCTTATACGTTTCATTTCGGTCTGGCTATACAGATACATTGCCACTAAGAAAAAATACCTTTACTATTTTTGGAAACAGAAATATTCCTTGGTCACACATTTATGACTAGCAGGTCATAACTACAGATTGTTAATACATCAGAATAATGAGTCACACAATTATTATAAAATCTTAAAAATAATCTCAAAACTCCATTATAGATAGATATTATTTTTAAATCTTTTCTGAATTGCAGTTTCTGAGGTTTCCTCAAGATTCGTTAGTGAGAATTCTGAGATCCTTGTCCTGGAGAATTAGCAGGTTGATCCAAATGCAGTTAGAGCTTCAGCGATTGAAAAACTACTAAACTTCCCTTCACTGTTAATAAATTGGAGATAAATTTTCTTTTTCAAATATAGCGTTCTTTATATTATGGATGTAAATGAATTTAAAGCATAAAGACTATAAAATAATCTTAAATTTCTACTACATTGAAGAGAGTTATTTGTTTGGTTATTTTCTTTAATTTATAATGTAAATTAATTTATTAAACACTGAAGAGAAATTCGTGGTCTGTAACATTATAAGGTATTTCTCCCGCTTTCCTAGAGTCCCTTTGTGGTGTAGCGGTTCTGCACGCTGGGCCGGTATTTCAGAGGTCCGTGGTTCGATTCCCGGGGAAGGCGGTTGCATACTTTTCATCTTTCCTGCTTCCAATTAACCTAATGTCTCTACAACATTTCATTATTACTAAATAATAATTATGCTCAACAACAATATAATACTAGTTTGGGACTATTATCAGTAAAAGGACAGCTGCGAATAGTAGTTTAATCATAACAGTAGTTATTGAAAAGTCCTCTTCATTATAAAAGGAAAAATGCAAGTGACTAATGATTATGAATTATTCATGAGGGGGGTGCAAAAGGTGGGTGCAATTATTTAGAAGCCTGTAATTTTTTCTCTAATGTCTTTGAAAATAGATAGGTGTTCTCTTCGGTGTTTAATATTAATTGAAAACTTCATTCTTTTTTAATAGATGATGTTCCATAAAGTAATACATTTTTAGTACTGTTAATTCTGGAAGCCTAAAGCAAATTTAAACCTTGTTAATTCCTGTTTGCATTTAACCAAAAACACTGTTTACGTTTTAATGTTGATTGTTGCCAATTATTTGTTTTCATTACGAAAGCAACATTCAGATAGTAAGTATTAATGTTGAACCATATTAACTAACCAATATTTAACTTTTTAATTAAGTTATAAGGTATTTCTCCCGCCTTCTTGGCATGTCTTCGTGGTTAGTGGTCTGCACGCCGGGCGCGTATTTCAGAGGTTTATGGTTCGATTCCCGGCGAAGGCTTTGCTAATTTTTCATCTTGCTTGCTTCCAAAAAAATGTACCTATTGTCGCTACAAAGTAATGCAAACGCCTTCGCTGTTTTTACATATCAGGAATCAGAAAGCTGTCTAAAATAATAAACTGTTGAAATCTTAAAGCTTATTAAAGAATAGGATTACTTTAAACATATTACTGTTTATATATAACATATACTATTAGAAGAATATAACATATTACTATTAGAAGACCTCTATTCCTTTGAAAAGACGAAACGAAAAGCATAAAATTGTAACAGTAGACCCACCTATAGGGTCTCCTTTTTTTCTTTCTCCAGTGTAGTGATCGGAAAAATGTCAGACACTACAGAAATTTTTTGCACCGTCTGACATTTTCTCGATATGTTGGAACTTTCCCTCTTGTTGCAACGATGCAGTTAAATGAGTTTCTTGCAAGAAAATGTGAGCTATGTTCATTTTTTATGATAGGAAAAAAATATTTTTTATTCTTTACTCAAGTGAGTGCAATATAAGTGTACCAGTTTCAAGAATAAATTCTGCACATAGTTAAATAGGGTCCAGATTTATCTTCGAAAATATTGCATGGATTCGATTTGATACCATCGTAATAAAATAAGTATTGCAGTGGGCATGCCTACTTTGAACATACTGTAACTTATAAAATAATTAGAGTTTTCTTTTGTATCTGTGAATGTGTACTTTCACAGCTTTTGTATGCTTACTAAGGATAAGAAATCTAAAGACATCATTTCTGTATCATTTTATTGTGTTATGTTCAAGAACTTTTTGTTTGCGTTTACAATCAGCAAATGGATGCAAGAAAGCTCTCTTTGTGCTAGTCATATCTTTTTCTGAATGATTAATCTAGCTTACTTTCGGATATAAAACTCTGTAGAGACATTAAGTATTTTTGAAACAGTATAGATGAAAAATGAGCAACGCCTTTGCCGGGAATCGAACCACGTACTTTTGAAATACACGCCCACCATGTAGACCACTACACCACGAAGGCATGCCAAAAAGGCGAAGGAAATACTTTATATACTCCTCCTTTTAAAGGGCGACTGGGGTTTTAGGGGACCCAATCGCCACATCCTGGGTAGTGGATAATCATCATCCAACACCTTTTTAGTTCGGGCGCCACTGTAGAGACATTAGGTATTTTTTGGAAACAGGAGACTTGAAAAATGAGCAACGCCTTCACCAGGAATCGAACCATGGACCTCTAGAATACGCGCCCAGCGTGTAGACCACTACACCACGAAGGCACGCTAAAAAGGCGGGCGAAATACCTCATATACTCCCCCTTTTAAAGAGCGACTGGGGTTTTAGGGGATCCAATTCGCCAAATCCTGGGTGTGGATAATCATCATCCGCCACACTTTTAGTTCGAACGCCACTGTAAAGACATTAGGTTATGTCGGAAGCAAGAGAGATAAAAAAGGAGCAACACCTTCGCCGGGAATCGAATCACGGGCCTCTGGAATACGCGCCCAGCATGCAGACCATTACACCACGCACTAAGGCCCGCTAATAAGGCGGGGGAAATACCTTATAAATCAAACACATGTTATTGTTCCTTTACTTGGACAATTACTAATATAGCTCTAATTTTAATATAATAATGATGAAGTTGTAAATAGAATTAGTCTAATTTTAGCTCTAATTTTAATTAAACGAAAATGCATAGCGTATATATTTAAATGTATATAGAATTTTTAGAATTAACCGTTATTGATGGATATGCCCTGACGTAGTGATCTACATTGGAATTACGTCGGATATCAAGAAAGGACTTTTGGAATATCAGTAGACTCGAAAATAAATCTTCAAATATTCCAAACTTCATAAAACATACTTCCATCAGTTCTTGTCAGAAGAGTTTCTTCAGGAGAATTTCTTTCTTTCTGTCAGGAGTTCTGTCTTCAGAGTTTCTTTCTGTCAGGAGTCTGAGGTTCTAGTTGAGCTATCATTACAGTTCGAACGTTGATCGATTCAAACTTGCAAGGCCCGCACCATACTACTTAGTGACACAAAATGTTGTAACAAATTCAATTAAACGAAAATGCGTAGTAAAACTACAGCATAAAATACCTTAAACGCAAGAATAAATAAATAAAACAGTACATAACTATAAAAGTACATAAAATAAACCACAATTAAATTAATACAAATATTTATATAAATTTTCTAAAATATAGATAATAAATGCAGTCAAACTTAATTATTGTAAAGGTGAAATTTATAGATATATTCTAATATTCTAACAAAAGAGAAATTATAATGTAGACAGTTTTAACAACAAAACAAAGTAAAATATTGACTTCTAAAGACTTAAGAACACCCGCCGTATTATCATCCCAAGCACAGAGGCCATCGCACGCGCATTTTTTTTCTTTGTTGTCAATTGAAATGTGTTTCTTTAATCGAATATAAAACAAAGCACTCGAAGGTTTTTCTGCCTGCCTAGATTTGAATATACTAGCGATGGCAAAGTTTGAAGTAAGTTTTTTTCAAACTTTGCCATCGCCATTTTTACTTCCTTCTACGAAGTAAAAAGAAAATGTTGTAATCGCGAAAAGTTTCAGGCAGCATATTTCAACGAAAATATCCATTTTTTTCGCTATCGAATGCAATTTAACGATGTTTTCGCGTGACATCTGTATGTTAAGACAGAATAAAAGACTCTTTTCCTCCAAAAAAAATTATAAAACTGCTTTAAAATGAATTCTGATGAGAATTTTTACTGTCTGTACGAACGTATGTACGTAAGTACGTACGTGCGTGTCTCGCATAACTCAAAAACGAGTAGCCTCAGAACGTTGAAATTTTGTATATAGGACTGCTGTAACATGTAGATGTGCACCTCGTATTTTGGTTGCAATCGGCCGCACCAAACATATATAAATATATTTATATATATATCTACTCTGTTACCCGGCTCAGTGATCTCAGTTTCTTTACTCTTATATGTTTGTAAATTGTGCATTTTTTGCTTTAAAAATGATTGAATTATGTTGTTCTTATGATCCGGTTAAGGTTTTTATGCTTTTAGTAAATCTACAAGCAATATTTGTACAATTATCAACAATTTTAAAGCTGTTTAAATGTGGTTAAGCCTAATTTTTAAATAACATGGCGGACATATTTGTTTACATTTGAAACAGCAGAATAGTAGATTTATTGCCAATCTAGAGAAAGTAAGCTAAACAACAAAGATAACGCCTTAATTTATTATTGCGAATTAAATCATGCTTAATCCTTTCTGGAATGTTTTCGAGGAAATAAGTGTTTACTTCATAATTTTACTTCATAATTTTTGATACAGATATTTTGAGTTTTTATGTATTTTTGCCTTGTCGCGAAGGCAGAACTGAATTAATTGAATGAGAAATACTAAATCGTCTGTGAAAAACTGTTTATTTTTTGTTTTCTTTGCTTAATTTCTTTTATACATCATTCTAGATATATTAGAGTATTTGAATAGAACATGTGGCAACGATTAGATAATTCTTCAAATGATATAAATTTTGTGCATTCTGAGTTATAATATGAACGACAAAAAACGCTGTTAAGTGAACCTAGCGCCAAAGTGTCGCTATGGTAAACAAAGTGAATTTTAAAGAATGCATTTATTCTATTGTGCTTTATGCGCTATCGACAGAGTAGATTTAATTCAATCCAATAAGTTTAGATGAAATGCAAAAAAAATGCGTATAATTTAATATTCCGTACAAGGAAGTCATGTGGTGTACACATCAGATTTTTTAGTGTATGCATTGCTAGAATGTGGCATACAGACATCAACTGAGCAAATGCATTTGGAAGAAGGATCTTAACTGGTTGGACGACAGATTGTCATACGCTATGATTTATGTAAAGATATTATATGCGAATCGCAATCATATCGTACTTCAGTTCCTAGGATCAATGTTTTAGGAATTAAAATACCTTTAACGAACATCTTGCATATTGAGTTGTAAATAAATTACTATAATCGGCTTCTGATTTATGCTGCTTCAGATTTTGCCTTTCAGGTAACTCTATTTTACATTCCTTAATGTAATAATCGAGAAAATGTTACCCTTTCTACTGCGTCCCTGCTCAGATTTTTCTACTTTAAGCTATGGCTCTTCAAAAACAAGGTAGCTCAAGGTAGCTCACTGAACAAGGTAGCTCTGTCCGACGTTTAGATCCCGCAAACGAGCTGGCTACATGGGCGTTTTCGTAATTTTTCTCCATGTGTAACGTGTATACGGGCCAGTTTCCCTTAAAAAGTCCCCCACACGAAGGCATCCCTCCCTTTAGGCAGATAGCCCTCAAGACTTTGCCGTAATCACATAAACTAAACTAAACCAAACCTACTTTAAGCTATGTTCTAAAAACAGATCATTTGTGTGACAAAATCAGTGGTAACATAAGCTTAAAGTCACGTTTCAGACGACAGTTATGTCCGCCTGCTTCTTTCAGAGTAGACTATTAGAAATAAATTTTAAAATGAATAGAAAATATAACAGAAAATGAAAGCTTAGGTGGTTGGTAAAGCAATCAACAGTAAAGTTAATTCTGGCACCATTAGTTTTCTGTCAAGTAGAACTTACCCAAGAACGAATTAATAATATCTCAGAGCAGCTACTAATCTTGCAACTAATTTTCGCAGTTATAAAAAGGTTATGGTCATCCTAAGGAGAATTCACCTAAAGTATTTCCTACGAGGCACTATTCGCTAGCAAGTAGTTTTTAATCTCGGTTTCTTCTTATGAATTTCTTCCCAATATCATTTTTATGTACTAACGCTGTTTGGGACACCTCGAAAAAATATGCCGGTTTAAAGAAGTACGAGATTGTTAAACCTAAGTGCAAAAACTTAGATTTTTAAGCGAATCTAAATAGCCTGTATAAGTATTAATTTTTTTTATTTAACATTATTTTTCACAAAACAAATGGCTGTTACTATTCAAAATTAGCATTTAAAAGTACTTACTATTCCGTAAATTAGCGATTAATTTACAATTCTGGTTAAATATTAAGGATTTTGTCCCTCTCTTTTCTTTTTCTCCCCCTCCAAAGAGATGATTTCGAAGACGTTATTTATCTGTCTACATTTGATATTTTGTAGTTATTTCTGCACATCAACCTCTTTAATACATTGCTTCCAGTATATTTGAAAAACTTATGTGAAATGGATATATGCCTAAAAATTACCTACCTGACCTGTCTTACCTAAACATTTCATAAAATGGAAGTCTCTCATTTTGGCAAAATTAGCATTCCAGTAGAAAATCAAATGAGGTCATGGCGGGGAATGAAATGAATATTTCTTATCAGTCCCACCTTTAGCCATATTCACATGATAATCATGTAATTTTTCTTATACTTTAAAAGCCTTAGGAATAAATTTTATTGAAAGTTTCCTCGATTTTTGGCATTTACGTTTAGAATTATTTGTTTTTGGCCACTAGCTTTACGTTTAAATTCAATTTGTCTTGTCATAACTTGGCGCAAACTGTTTCCAGGAAACTGCTTGAATATGTGACGTAGTGCAAAGGTAAATTTTCCGGTCCTCATCTGACTTATCTTATAGAAACGTAAATTCTCTTCATTTGATAGTGGATTGGAATTGTTTAATAATTGAAAGAAGTTAACTAGACACGTAAAGAAATAGTTTTGATCCGGCAGGTCTCTGTTATAAGTTAAGGTAAAAATTAGATTTAGGTCCAAGAGCAAACTGCTGCTTTCTTGTAAAAGAACTTGTGTTCTGCTATGTATGCATTTATTTAGTTTTGTAAATCTTTCTATTACTCTACTAACTGCGGATAAATTATAGCTTATTTATAAAGAACTTTTGTTACTTGCTTGAGTTTTACTTAAATTTGATCGCTAGTCTGAATTAGCAAAAGTATGCTAGTAATTTGCTTCAGATTGATGAAAGACCGGAGGATTTAAGCATTTCTTTACATTTTCGGCTTTTCAAATTACGTTCAATTTACTGATATCCCCCCTATTTATGTCTTAAGATAAACATCTTATTCCGTATTGCTCTAATATATTATTATATGTCACTTTTTAATTTTTTATCTTCTCTTACAGGATGATCAAAAGACAAAAACGGAAGATGAATCAGTGAGTGAAAGTTTCAAAGATACTAAATTGTCTAGAACACCTATTCCATCAGAAGAAGTAATTGAAAAGCGTAAGTAATTTGTTTCGTTTTCTTATTAATTCAGTTTTTGTGTTCACATATTTGTATCAAATCACATATTTTTATCATGTTATAAGATACTTAATTCCCCGTTTCCAATCTAGGATATTAACTTTTCCTTCCTTTTCAAATACTTAAAAGTACCAAAGCAAACTCCATGAAACATATCAAAAATGCAAATTTTTAAAACCTTTTTCTGTGCTTTATCATTTTAGCGTCGTTTTAAATACAAATGTTAACTTCCCTATTTAAAAGTAAAGTAAATATTATCTAAATTTCTGTTTTAAAATGAGATAAATATAATTTTAGTTTTTGTTTATCAAAATTAAATCGACCAACAGATAGCTGATATCTCCATCAAGTTTAAAACATCTTCTTTATAAGAAGGTTTTTCAAAGTTTAGAATCGTATTGATTAATTTTAGTATTTATATGAATATTTGTTATTTTTAAGATGAACAAAGTTCGCCAAAAATTAACTTGAATTTTTTAAATACTTTTTACTGAACATCTATGAAATTACAGTTTATCATCTTTAAAATATATGTCCTGTATCCGAACACAGCGATTCCAATGCAATACCAAACTTCGCAGCACTGAAAGAAATATTCACTTTTTCAGACCTTTGCCACAGCTATATGGACGTTTACAACTGTCCTTTGAGGAACATAAGAAATCGTGCAGAGATATTTCAGGGCTGTATTGTAGCTGGAAAAGCTACAATGTATTTTATCCCTCCTTTCTGCTTGCCTTCGTGGAGTTACGTTAGCACACTCGGCGCGTATTCGAGAGGTCCAGGTCCCGACAAGGGCATTGCTCATTTTTCACACCTTTTTGCTTCAAATGTTCTAATGACTCTACAGTGGCGCCTTAACTAAAAGGTGGTGGATGATGATTCTTCACCACTGGAATTTAATGATTGGGTCCCCTAATCCCCAGTTACCCTTTAGAGAGGAGCTATATAAGGTGTTTTCTCCCTTCTTTCTTCATGCCTTCGCGGTGTAACGTTAGTGAGTGTTCGAGATGTCCTAGTTCTAGTCCCGGCGAGGGCATTGCTCGTTTTTCACACCTTTTGCTTCAAAAAGCCTAATGACTCTACGAAGCGTTGCGAATTTTTTAACAAAATAATTCCTAGCCAGAACAGGGAATCACAACATAGATAACCGTACCACCATTTAGGCATATTGGTTGATTGTCCATGATGTGGGGTTACCTACTACCGGCTATTCCAAGAGGGACCGACCCCAAGCTGCCCTTTATTTCAAAAATTAAAATTTTACAATTTAGAAATTTTACGTAAACATATTACAATTTGGAAAATTTACATAAACATTTTACATATGCATACAAAAATTCCAGAAATTATTTTACATCAACATATTTTTAATATTAGTGTAGGTTCAGAAATATGGAAACGTTTGCAAGAGTTCTATACACTCAGTATGTCTTGTAGTTATCAAGAGTGAGATCCTTTGAGATAATCGCAATTTGTCGAGAGAGATGTTATGAGATTATCTAGTTTATAACGAAGAATTTCCCTAATGCCCATACTTATATATAAGAAAATTCTATGCTGATCATAAAAAATAAAATACAAAATGTTCGATTTCAGTAGAGCAAAAAACCACGATATTTTACTGTAATTTTACTGTAAAGTTGTAAATCATATTCAAGGGCCATACGTAAATTGAAGAGCGGAATATTTACATTTGTGCGTAAATAAAAATAAAATATCACTTTAGAAAAAGGTTCAGGTGTTAAGAGATATGTGGCGATTTCTATCCAGTTCGTAATTCACAGACGAAAACCATTGAAGATTTAAGAGGAAAAAAAAACATCAAGTTAAAACTATTCGAGTTTATTTATTAACCCTTTCCGGCACGCTACCTTTTAAAGTCGGAGTTTTAATAGCAAAAAAGGTAGTAAGTCTAGGTAGAAGGAGTACACAAGTAAAATTTTGTGAAAATAGCACTTATCGTTTTATTTCTGTTGGTGTGCCCAAAGTGGCACACTGATTGAATAGAGCTTCGAAAGGAATGCTGAAACGAGCATTCTTGTCAATGAACTGACCGATGAGATGCAGAGAAACAAAGAATACAGATTCTCAGTTGTCCTAGATTATCGGTGAGCCCGGTCTGGGCACACCTAGGGTTCGCCGTTTCATTTTAGGCAAGATTTCAGGGTAAAAATTTAAAACTAATATAGAATAAGGAAATTAGTGTATAGCCAAATAATTAACATAGAAATTTCTTTTCAAACAATTCCTTTCATACCCTAAAAAAATCTGGAAGATTTCTTTGAAAAATGAGGGTCTTAAACTAAACATGTCTAAAATATATGGACTGGTTTATGTTAAGTTGCCATCTATAGGTTACTCTGAACCTTCTTTATATAATAAAGACGGTTCAGAGTAACCTATATTAACCTATAAATCCTTTTCAATTTTTCTGTACGTACAGAAGGAAATTTTTAGGTGTGTCCAGACCGGACACACTGTGCCGCAAAGGGTTAACTGATCTCTCAGCGCAAACTGAAAATCACATCAAAAATCGTAAATTTTGAAATTAAAAATCGCGTTCAGTAGCTATCGTAAGGGAGTCAAACATGTTGTGTTTAACATTTTCCTAACTGTAACTATAGGAACCCAAGGACCATATAAAAAGATGGATTTCGTTACTTTTATAAAATTGGTATTTTCAAATCTGAAAATGCCAAATCGTGAATGTTGCATCATTAAAATCATTTTTTAAATGGAAATATGTGTCTATGACCAAAGGTTGGAAAGTAAAGACCGAGAAATAGGTAATTTTCTGCGTACGGTGTATATATATGCATTTTCACTACGGATGTTAACAATTATTTTTCTCAAACGCTAAAGTGTCTTAACGTCCTGAGAATTTGTACGAGTCACATTGTTTTCAGCTCTTAAGGCTTGAAAGATTCCCTGTGGGCTGCTCATTCTTAACTCTTTCCTTTTATATTCAAGAACATCTATGACACTTAAAAGGCAACAGAGAAAACCTCGAGAATTTGATAAACCTTGAATTGTCTGCAAGAACTTCAGTACTACAGAACCAGGTTTTTCAAAGTTTCTATTATTTTTCAGAATCAGGTTTTCAAAGTTTCTATTCAGTTTAATTACATACTAGGTTTTCCTTTCCACCTGCCTCGATGCCCGCTTGCCTTTCCTAAATGCTCAGCACAGTGGCGTGTCTAGGTTGGGGCTAGGGGGCAGCATCCAGGAGGGACCAAATTGATGAATGAAATGTTTTCCTCCTTGGAACACAGAAAGGGGCACAAAATCTTAAAGTGTCCCCGGACGCTGAAAACTTTAGCTACGCCTCTGACTCTGCATTACATTCTACAAAAATTTCTTTCTCATTACTTTGGTTCCAGACTGTACATTTAGGGACGTGCTCATAACAACCATATCCTGCTATCATAGAAGTAAATTTTTCATCGGAGGTATAAAGCAAAATTCATAGAGGGATCATGAAGTAAACAACTACTTTTCGCCTAGCTTTTACACTAACAAAATCTGGGCGAAATTACCTTGGCGAGAATTTATATTAAACGTTCCCTTTTCCTTCCTCCAAAAAAGTCTGAATTTCAAAGTAATTTTATAAATAATCAGAATTTAATTGAATAAACAATGTAATATTCAACTGAAATTTACTTGTAGCCAGTCAAATCCTGGCAGTGCTGTAAAGCAGTCAAATGCTGGCAACGTAATCTACACTGGTGTGCAAAAATTAACGACGAGACGGTTTTTTCAATATAACTTTGTACAAAAGCTTTCCAAATCAACACATTTAATACCCTAAGATCCCCAATACGTAAGGACATGAGTAATGTAAGCAACACTTACTAAAAGAGAAATCAGAGGGATAAAAAGAAGCTTTATTGAAAAAGTAGCATGGAGCGCAATGCGACTGAAAGCCGAAACATCCCTGTGATGGGTGTCCAGCAAGAAACATCCGGTCTTTAATAGGGGATATGATCTCCCCTGACTGCTAGGCAGGTTTCACAGCGTCTGCCCATGCTGAGAATGGGGGTGTCAATGAGTTGTTGAGGCATTGCTGCCCATTCGTCTTGCAGCGCCAATCGAAGCTCCGGAATCGTTACTGGTGGTAAGGTACGAGCTGCCAAGCGTCTGCCTAGAAAATCCCATACATGCTCGATGGGATTGAGATCCGGAGATCGTGCCGGCCAATCCATACGTTCAATATCCTCACTCTCTAAGAGCTGTTCGGCAGCTACTGTGCGATGACATGGTGCATTGTCGTCCATGAAAAGGAACTGCGGACCCTATAGCGCCTCTAAAAAGACGCACATATGGAAGAAGAATCTCGTTACAATAACGGGTCCCGTTGACTGAACCTGCGTCGAAGATGTGAAGGTCTGTACGACTACCAAGCATGATGCCTCCCCAAACGAGAACACCGCCACCTCCATACCTGTCCCTTTCAATGATGTTCGAGGGATGATTGCGGCTTCCCCGCTCTCTCCAGATGAGTATGCGATGAGAATCGCTACTCAGACTGAATCTGCTCTCATCTGTAAAGAGTACTCGTCCCCATTCATTGTCTCTCCAATTCCGGTGTTCCCGGCACCACAGAGAACGCCTTCTCCGATGGGCAGGCGTTAGAGGTACACACCGTACAGGGCGTCGTGCAAACAGACCACCACCGTGCAGTCTTCTGGCCACGGTAAAACGCGATATCGGTCGTCCAGTCGCCTGTGTCGTGTGTCTAGCGATTTCTCCCGCTGTCTGCCGCCTGTTTCTTCTGGCCTGTAAGGCAATATACCGGTCATCTGCGGGTGTGGTTCCTCGTGGACGACCACTACTAAACCCCCGGATAGCTGTTCCTGTAGTTTGAAATTGTCTCCAAAGTCGTGAAACGATGCTGTGAGCAATTCCGAACTCTGCAGCCACACTTGTCACACTGCGGCCTTCCTCCAACTTCCCAATGATTCGACCTCGGGTAAAAGCATCCAGATGTCGTCTAACAGATTGATTATTCGCCATTTCTCGCTGAGGCAGCAACTCGGTGTGATTTTAACTGCTATACGGCGTGCAATCTCTTTGCCAGAAATACTGATCTTACACCGACAACATGCTTTATACTACTCAGACACTCCCCCATTACGTCTACCTGCATATCTGCGCATGTGCTACCGTACATCACCTTACTTAATCTCCTGATTGGTCTTTCTGTCCGCTCTGCCTCTTCGTTCAGCTGATATGCTATTTTTCGACTTCGTCCTTAATTTTTACACACCAGTGTATGTCATTAGTAAGAGACCAAATTTTCGTATAATAATATTTTTGACACATTGAATTTTGCGCGCACAAATCTTCTTCATTAAGTAGCTTTTGAATTTAGAGAGGTTCAATCATCATAGAATTTCTTTTATTTAATGCTCATAAGCTGCAGAGTAAATTTTATGCAACCATGAATTTTTTTTCTGTTCCAGAAGTCTAGCTGAGAATGGAAGGTAATTCAGGGTTCACGGTCTGAATTTTAGTATAATGCTCCTTTTACTGTGTAATTTCGAGTAAAATTCTTATTGAAAATATGTAGGGTCGTTCTCTGTTTTTTCACATACACTAAAGTAGATCCTACAATGAACCTGGCGAATTCTCGAACAAGCGTGAATAAATACCAGCACAGAAGAAGAGTGAAAGTAACCCTTTATTAAATTCAAAATAGTTAACAGAAAGACACGATCTTCGTGCGGTACAATGGCCTCGTCAAACTTGCGGTGAAGCTAAAAATGTAGAATTTAGTTCAAGTCAAAATCTAAAATAAGTAATGCTGGATTGCACGTAAGTTACGCCTAACAGCTTGACTCATAAAAACCTAATAGGCGTGATTATAAATCCGAAATGGCCAAGAGGCTTACTAGCATAACAGCGAAACGTGCGCTAGCGAAAACACGCTCTGAATAACTCAGAGATTCACCCGTTTATTCGCACTTCACTTAACTTTAAATTGACATCCTGGCGAGAAAATGTGAGGGGAAGTTGAGAAGTTCGGTACAGGTATCAAACTTAAAATAAATTTGTTATGCAAAATAAGGAAAACCGTACAGATAGCGTTAAATTATTAAATGTGAAAAATGATCGAAACTTTATATTAAATAATTAGTTTTTTTTTATTTTAATTTTCCGTGTTTATTTAATATACAAGAAATTCCGTAAAATTTTCAGACTATTTATTCTGTGATATCGTTATTGAATACTTATAGCGCATTTTATATTATTAACTCTCAACTAATTTCGTTGCTTACAGTGACATGACACAATCATACGATTTCAAGTTATGTTGTCTAAAATTAAAACGGTAGAAAATTGGAACATTGCGGAATAATTCGGTTATTACTTACTATATTAATTTCATACAGCCATGATTAAGTTTAGACCATGGTTTAATATTCATTTTAGACTGTGTTATTTTAATTATTCTGTAATTGGACCCACCAAGAGTCTAATACTTATTTCAAAACCGTCTGCCGTTAATTTCAGCTTACATTATTGCCTACTAAGTAATTCACGTCGCATTTTCTTTTTTTTTTTACTGGCAACGCAAATATTAAGTATATTTCCTGAGGAAGCTCTAATACAAAATATTTCGTCTCTTAAGTATACAACTCTGGAGTGATTTCTCTGTAGACATTTAATTACTTCAATCGTTATGCGTTATACTGTATACTTATTACTCAAAATTTCTACATTTGCTGACTTAAATTTATTATAAAAATTAAGCTCAGAATTCTAAAATATACTTATTTCTTCTCCGTGAATATTAACGCTTTAACGGAGAAAAATAAATAATTATAGAGTAAACGCATTTTCTCTTGTAAAAGTACAAAACCTTTATAGCATTTAATAAATTCCAGTTTCGAAAAGGTGACTGCCCCCCCCCTTTTTTTTTTTTTTTTGATTGTTTAGAATTTGTAAATCACCGTGGAATGTCTTTTCGCCAAATAGTAGTTAATCTTTCCAGCCAGCATTACTTGATTAACCATTTCTCCGCGTTTCTCTTCCAGAAATTTCGTTTAGCACTTAATTTAAGCACCATTGTTAAGGCGCAAGCTTTCCACAGTAGACTTCTAATGACTTAATTTCTCAATCAAAGGAATAACATCTTGCTTAGTTTTTCTGTAGGACAATAACTAAACTGCACAAGTGAGTTAATCCTCTGATCGGCCAGGATTTTCCCTAAGAAAGCACAAATTTTCCAAATCTACTATGAGAAAAAATTATTTTCTTGATTTTAATATAAAAATTCTCCTGTTATTTTATACCTGAATTTGTGTACTTTTAATATATTGCCTTGATTTCTTTGACATATTTTAATATTCACGTATATATATGTTCTTACAGATACTGATTAGAGGGGTAAAATTGATCGAAAATATTTTTCTTTGTCGAATTTTTAAAACATATGCTGGAGCTCCTAAAATTTCGCTTTTGTACTGTAGACTTCTAATGACTTAATATGCTAGAGCTGGAGCATAGTAATAGCTTAGAGAGAGTGTAGCCAAAAGATAAACGCGGGCTAGTTAAAATCGCCGGCTCTCTAACGAAGTCAGTGGAACTTCGACTTAAGTACCGCTCTTCTTTCATTTGCATTAACCGCGATTCTAAAAACACACTCTGCCAGGAAATTGTAAGCTGAAATTATAAGGGACAGGAAAGTAGCTTTAATTAAGCTTAAAAACTTAGGATAAACCTTACAACTCTATTAAAGTATGACTTTATGTTTCTAGCTGTTGCAGAAGATCGAAGTGAAGCTGATCGTCAGGGAGCTTCATCTCCAGCCTACAGCGACCAGTCAGATAAGCTTATCGCCTCTTCTATTCTATCCTCCTCTTCTTCAGTTAGCCATAAAGTCCCAAAAGTTTCAGATCAACCTTGGGAACGGAAGAGAGCTCCCAATCAGGCTTTGTCTACTTGGTGCAGTGAAGGAGCGATTCCGAAACAGCGGCATCCTGAAGAGGGACGGAGGAAAAGAGATCGAGCTCGCAATAGATCTGAACCAAGGGAGCACATTGCTTCGCTACAGGTACAGTTAATCTGTCCACCAAATCAGAAACGGATAACATCTATATATGGAAAAACCAGTTTAAGTTGCAACGGGTGTTGATGCAACATTCTGCACAATGTTTCAGTTTGCTAATATTTAGAAATTTCAGTTTGCTAATATTCTTGGAATAACAAACATGGGTTATTACAATTTAATAATTATAGATGAAACTGGCGCCAGTTATCAGATATCTATCATAAGAAATGGGCCATCAGCGACTAAATTCGCTGAACTCTTGCAGTTCGACCTGTGTTTGAGTCCTCGATTCCGAGTTGGCTGCATGAGCGTTTTTGTGGTTTTCCCCATGTGTAACGTGGATATAATCCAGTTTTGCTCAGAAAGTCCTCTACGAAGACTTACCCTCTCTTAGGAAAATAGCCCTAGCGTGCTTTGTAGTAATCAAATGAATTACGCCAAAAACTTTCATGAGAAATTTAATCCACTATTTGAATATTTTAGGTAGCATATTTATGGCTTTAAATCTTTAAGTTACTCAAACTATAGTGCAAGTTAAACACAAATGTGGCTTTCACGAAAACTCACTGAAGTCACTATTCCGCAATATTTTAACTAGAATGGATAAGGCCAGGTGGCGCAATGGCTAGCGCATAGCACAGCAGAACCACAGGTTCGGGGTTCGATTTCCGGGCTGGGCAAGGTCGACTCAGCCTTTCATCCCTTGATTTCCATCACTTGAGTCGATAAAATGAGTACCAAGTTCGCTTGAAGACTAAACAGGGGGTGTCCTGCGACAAGCTGACCACTTGTTCAGGGCATATGCTTACGCACCCCGGGACCCACGGTCAAGACTGGCACTGCAGACCTTGGCCCATTAGGGCTGTGACGCCACTGAGTTTAGTTTAGAATAGAATGGATATAGATGATGAAATGTATGAAAACATATGCGTATTAGAAAGTTTACAAAAATATAGTGATAAACTTTGTTAATTTGCTGTGATCTACAAAATTAACCTGAAAGATTATATATCTTTTTGGATATCAGGCATCCAAAAAGATTCGTGCCACTGGATCGAAAAGTGAAATTCAAATGGAAGGCATCGACGCCTTGTCAAGATGACTTCAGATTCAGACATTCCCGTCATCCATTAGTCAGTGGAGAGTTTTGAAGCTTCTCAGTACGAACGTTTTTTTAATTCCTGGTATGTTGTTTTCAAACCATCGACTCGTTATCTCGCAATACGTCATCTATAATGTCACAGTCTAATGTAATTCTTAATTTGGAAAACGGGTATTTTGCTGCACAAAAAAGAACTGTGTTCTTCAAATAGCAATTGAGAAAAACTAATGAATTGAGCTATCACCTATCTATTTAAATCCTCGTAAATACCTTCATTTTGTAAGTTTCTTTATTGTTTGTTTTTCTGGTGCTTAAAAGTTTGTTACACTTAAGTACTTCCTGCACTTTTAAATCTTTGTTGTCTAATATATGCTCTTATAAGTGCTGTATTATTTTAATGTGTGAACTCCCTTGGAAATGAGTTTTTACAACACATATTTACTACTTGAAGCATTGTTTCCCGCTCAGATATTCATCGCGTTTATCTCCTTAAACTATTTCAAACTTTAATCTAAGGTATATAAACTCAAATTGTGAAATATTAACAATTATCAAGAGAAAAAATGAGAAAATGCAAGCAAAACTTTAGATGTTACCAGAATAATTATATATACAAATACTGAATACTGTACTAAGATCTGTGCATCATATTTTACATTTCGAACAGTTTTTAAAGGAGCTCATAACCCGCGAGAATTAAAATTTATCCATATATTTATAATTCTTGAAATCACTGTACTTCAAAGGGTTTGACTTGTTTGAAACTTTTCCTAAACAAAACTTTCAGTTACTCAACAATTAAAATTTAATTCAAACAACTATAAATGCAATTAATCAACGAAATTTTAATTTAAATTCTATAGCGAAATAGAGTGTAGTTTCTAGTATAATTCTGAAAATTTAATTCGGAGCATTAAAATTAATTCAAATGTATGACACTGAATACATGTGTGATTTATTTTAAGTTAAACTTTCTTATCAGGATTGTTATAATCTTTAGAATGGAAAAATTGCTTTGGTTGGTCCACTGTTAAAACCCGCTCTTAAGGGGACTCATACATCTTAAACCCCTCATGATCTTCAAATATGTGACTGTTGCAAGAATTGGGATATTTTATTTATTTTAAAAGCAATTACTTCCAACTTTTTACAGCTGACTACATAATATAGCTGCTTTGGAAAACTAGTAACCAGAAAGTTTGTGTTGCCACAAATATTTTTGTAATTTTATCCTCTTTGTGATAAAATATTTCGCCATGTTTCCATCTTGCGCGCATGATATTTTAAAAATGGCTAATGGTACATACTTGAAATTGGATGGAATTCTTTATATGGGCACTATTTTCTAACTGAACCAACAATCTGATGAATATTTTAATATTGAAAAATTTTATGGACGAAAACATTACAAATTTTGTTAATAAAATACATTTTATAAGCTCAACTCAAAATAAAATAAAAATTTAACATGAAATTTTAAAATTTTAGGGTTCACAGTAGTTTCCAAATGTTATAAAAGCTATATATTAAATATGGAATTAAATTATGAAACAGAATGTTTTAAACTGTGCGCGCAAGTTGGAAACATGACGAAATATGTTGTCACAAAGCGGATTAAAGTATAAAAATATTTGTGGCAACACAAACTTTCTGATTACTATTTCAGAAAGCAGCTATATTATGTAGTCAGCTGTAAAAAGTTGGTAGTAATTGCTTTTAAAATAAATAAGGTATCCCAATTCTTGCAACAGCCACCTATTCGAACATCTTATGGGTTTTAAGGTGTATGAGTCCCCTTAAAAGTGGATCATACTGAATATTTTATTGATTAAAAATTAAACTATATGTTGTGGAACAAAAATCATATTCCCTCTTTGTTAACCGGATTGACTTCAAAATTTTACCAAGGTTCACTTATTCATCGCGGATGCAAATTTGCTTTTTACTTTTATTTTTAGAAAAAATATTAAAATATTTTTACCCAAATAAAATTTAAACAATGTTTCAAAATCTCCTTTTAGTTCTCTAGACCTGAACGTTCTTCCCGTTCCAAGAGTCGAAGTCCGGAGGAAAAACTGAGCGATGACGAAAGTGGAATTCGTTTCGGAACTAGAAGTCTTGCCCCCCTGTGTTCTCACTGCGGCGAGAAGATACTGGATCCACCATTTTCTGCCCCACCATCGTGGGACAGAAGCTACGCTAGACCTTTCTGGGAAACTCCTAGTTCTCATCATCAACCTCTCATATGGAGGCAGAGGGGTTATGGAGATTCTTCAGCAGGTTATGGAACTCATGGCAGGTACGTTGCCGCACCTTATGGAGGGGGTCACTGCCACATGCCTCGATCGTGGTCAACAGAAAGTGGACCGGGAGCATCTGATGACCTCTATCCTGAAGAGGATGAAGATGCAGGTAATTTCAGCTGTTATTGTATTAATGCTATAAAAATCTGTCTCATTATATTATGTAATATACTGTATTAGCCCATGTAAGAAACCAACCCCACGTATCAGATGATGTGCAGTTTTGGAAATGTTTTACAAGGAAACATTGAGATTATTTTTAAGACAGCTTAATGTATAAAATGCTGCAAGTGTTCCATTTAAAAGTGAATAAACTTTTAAATAGCTTAATTGAAATAAAATATCTGATGTGGATACCATATGACTTCCTTGTACAGCCTATTAAATTATACGCAATTTTTGCTCCCCTTCATTTAAACTTATTTCCTTGAATTTTATTAGAGATATATTTTTTCATTCAATCAATTCAATTTTTCCTCCGCAGCAAGGCAAAAATACGTAAGAATTCAAAACATCTTCATCAAAAACTGTAAAGTACAATAAACCTAAAATGCCGAATACTGTTACAGACAGTTAAAAAACAATTTCTGCGATTAAAATTAGAGTGTCTACGCAAATTTGATCAATAGGAGGAAAGGAAATTTTTCAGTGAACCAAAAATTAAAGCTAAGCTAATTTTTTGGTTCCATTGGGCAGAGAGACACTGAAGTTGTTGTACTAACTGAACTCATTATACTATTACGAATTTCAAATATAAACAAATTCGCGCATCAGCACCGCTTACACTTTTAAATTGTTGATAATTCTACAACTATTGTATGCAAATAAACTAAAGCATTAAATCCTTAGCCGGAACATGAGAACAATATAATTCAAGCACTTTTAAAGCAAAAAATGCACAATTTACCAACATATAAGCATAAAAAACAGAGGTCATCGAGCTGGGAAAGAGGGTGCATATATATATGTAAGATATAATAAACTACAATGGCTTCTATAAGAAATAATTGTCGACCTCAAAATTAACGATTCTAGATTTTATGCTCTGCCCCTAAATTCATCCTTTCTTCCAAATTCAATATCTTTCCTAATTACATAATACTGCTTGTAAAAGTTACCTCAAAAACCTAAAATTAACCAATCACGGCTTAGCTTTCCAGAAAGCATCTACGCAGTGTAAATACTGATTCTTGAGGAACTACGTTCCTTTTTTTCCTGATTTCTGCCATAGAATCAACTGTGCGCCTCTATGCTTCCCTGTCTGAAATGATGTCGTATCTATTTTTGTGTTACATAAATAATTTTTGTATTCAACGATGATTGAAAAATAATTTGTTTGCCAAAGAGATGATTTGAAATGTGTAAAAATAAAGATGGTGATTCTTCAATTCAGTTTTGTTAGCTGCTTCATCAAGACTTTTCCACTCAGCCATGTCTACAATCATAAGTACCGGATTCACCGACTGCGCACTTAAAATATTTTATGTATATATACGTCTGGTGCGTTCGATTGCAATATAAAAGGACGATGCGCAACTAGATGTTATAGCAGTTCCACATACAAAATTTAAACGTTCTAGTGCTAATCGGTTTTGAGTTATGCGAGATCCATACACACGTACGTTCGTACAGATGTCACGCAAAACTTCCATTTTAAATCCATTTTTCAATCCGTTTCGGGAAAATAATCCTTTATTCTATCCGTAGGTACACATGCCAGGAAAAACCAATCATTCAAATAGATTCAAGAGTGGTCAAAATGTATATTTTTGTTGGAATACGATACCCTAAAATTTTCGACATTACAATACTTCCTTTTCTTCCTACAAAGAAATAAAAATTAATTCAGTAAACTTTCCGTAAGAACCAAGTTTTCAGGCTTTTTGTAAATGTGTAAGACCTATCTCTATTATTCCACATAAACTAAATTAGATCCTACAATGAACCTGGCGAATTCTCGCACAGCTGTGAATAAATTACCAGCACAGAAGAAGAGTGAAATATAACCCTTTATTAATTCAAACTAATTTAACAGAAAGGCACAGACAGTGCGTTACACAAACACCGTCCACTTGGGTGGAAACTAAAACGTAGACTATAATGCAAGTCAAACCTGAAATAAATAGTGAAAGAGCGCACTTAAGTTTACGCCTAAGAGGTGGTCTCACAGAAATCTAACCGGCGTGTTACTAATCTGATAAGGCCAAGAGGCTTATTAGCGTGACCGCGAAATAACAACGAAACGTGCGCTTGGCTAGCGAAACACGCTCTGAATAAACTGAGATATTCACAAACTTTAAATTTACATCCTGGCGAGAGAATGTGAGGGGAAGTTGAGAAGTTTAGAACAGGAAATCAAATTTAAAATAAATTTGTTATGCAAAATAAGGAAAACCCTTCAAATGTAGTTGTGTTATACAGGTGATATTCAATATCGATATGTATATATATATATATATTCAAGAAATTCTGATCACTTTCATAGATAGTCTCCATAAAACAATTTACTGTGATAATATATTTTTAATGCAAACGTTAAGCAGTATGCGATAAATATTAACACAGTTTTTAAACATTAGGCAAAGTAAAAATGGGTATTGTTTTCAGATGTGCATTTTCAAGTGAAAACACCTCCTCTTATTTATTCTAGCCTATGCGGTTTTTTTATGTGTTTAAAATTTTAATATAATACTTTACTTAAAATTCTTCCTAACATGTTTCAAACTAAGATTCTTCTATGAGAGATCTCGATATGTATTCATCCAGATTCCAATTCTTTTATCTGTTACCGATAAGGTATCAGTTACAGATCTTTTATCTGTTACCGATAAAGTCACTTTTATTTGCTACCAACTTTTGTAAAATGACTAGTCTCTTCCAGACATTTCTTAATAATTTCATGTTTTGGGTCAACTGAAAGTACATTGGCATACTGCAATCGATGTGTTTTTCGTAATCCTAGTCATACTGTTAACCATTCTGACTCTAGATTGCATTCCATCATCATCACCGAAAATTTTCAGAGTGTTCAATAATAGTGCGTCCATGCCACACTCATTTCTAATATCAGAAATCATATGAATTATTTGCTATGTTCTTTAGAACACATATAGAAACATTAGGTTATTTCTTAAGCAGGAAAAACTGAAAAATGAGCAACGCCTTCACCGGGAATCGAACCACAGACCTCTGTAATGCACGTCTAGCATGCAGACCACAACACCACGAAGGCATGCTAGGAAGGAGGGATAAATACGTATATACTTTCCCCTTTTAAAGGGCAGCTGGGGTTTTTAGGGGACCCATTGGCCAAATCTTGGGTATAGAGAACCATCATCCACCACCATTTTTAGGTCGGGCGCCACTGTAGAGGCATTATTTTATTTCGAAGCAGGTGACTATAAGTCGTATGAAATTAGTATCAGTCTTGTAGTAATTGTATCATATTTAAAACTGATTTTGAATTTTCTGAGCTTCACGTATGTCTCATATTTTACAGGAGTGCATTCAGAAAGTTACAGATCATCATCTTGGATTTATATCTCCGATAGTGACGAATTAGCTGTATGGAAACGCCCTACAGAACCAGAAGGTAGGATACTTTTAGAATAAATACACTCGATTTTTTAACAAAAATATAATTAACTAATTATTATTATTTATTAATTATTTTATTTATCGATACATATTTATTATTAATATTTATGGCTGATAATAAATGTTGTAATAATAATAATTATTATTATTTGTTATTTATTTTTTTCGTTAAAGCGTTATTTATTTTTCCCCTAAGAGTTTTCTTAAAAGTAAGTATATAAAATCAATAACAACATCAATAATAATCAGTGAATATCCACAGAGTTAAAATTATGATAGTTCTTGACGAGAAGCCACAGTGTGATGAATCAGTTTAATAATTAATAGTTAATAAACTGATTTATATTCATCACGCTGTATTTAGTAATAGTTAAATCTAAAGTAATAAAGACGAGAGATTCAAAAGATTTGTTTGAAGTGATTAAATAAAAGTGATAGAAAAACGTTTCAAAGGTTCGACAAAATATGAAAGCAAAGAAATGATACCGCTTTGTATGTATGCTTGCAATAAATTTTAAAAATAATGCTTATTTATTTCCTGATGTTTTTGATAATTTAAAATAGAGTGCAAATTAATAAAATATCTAAATACTGCAGATTTCTTGTTCAGGTAATTTTGAAGTATACCATGAAATTTAACACATTAAAATAAAAAAAAATGTCGAATAAAATTTAGTAAATGAGATTAAGGATGATGAACATTGAGAGCCAAATGTTGTATATCTGTTTCGTATGCTTTACTAGTATAAGTATTTAAAAACCACGCTGAACTTGGCTCGTTAGTAGTCCTCTTTCTTGTCACTAAATTCCTGACCCCCAAACGTATATGAAAAACATTTCCGTTGGCAGTCTTTTAAACGACTAAAGGTCTCAGGAATGTCATTCTTTTGCTTCATTAGACATTTTCACTAATTGCGTTCTGCTCACTTTCAGTTTCTCCGAACTTCACTTTTCAAATTCACTTTCGCAAGTTTAGGTTTTTGTATAGAATTATTATGAAAATCTGTACTCTACAAAATTTTAGGATTGAATTCATAAAACTTTAATACAATTTCATCTTTGTTGAAATTTCTACATTCATTTTTTTTCTGATATTGCATATATTTTGGTTTATTATTATGGGCCTCTGATTGTTTCACAGAATCTAACTTTTGAAACTTTTGACCATGCTTCAGTATTTCAAGCGACAAAGTAACACATAAAGTTCTGGAAATTTAGCTACTGCCGTTTAGAAGTCAGCATTGTACACCCACGGGGGAAGAAAGAACAATGAATATTGTGTAAAAAAGTTGAAAATAATTTGCGTACAGACATGAAGGTATAGCTATACGTGGTGTCGTAAGTCGCTTGCTTCTGCTCGGTATTGTTATTTTCTGATATCGCCATCAATTAGCACCGCGGAGAATTCCAGCACTGCCACGAGTTTAGTATGCCTTGAAGATGATAACGACCTTGGAACTCTATCCTGGTCTTCTTAAGTGGCAGTCGAATACCATATCGTTATAGCAAAAAGACTGTCGTGTAGAATCTGATATTCTATTTGCTTTGTAGTGCAAGCGTTTGATCGGCTGGATAGCTATATATTCGAAGTATTTATGGTGCGATAAGAGTAGATGCAGTTGTTGTCGTGAGTAAAAGCCGCGCTGCGGACATGGATGTAAGCCTAGTGCCCAGCTAGTGTGATCTCAAGAGCTAAACAAATGCTCGCACTACAAAGCAGTTCAAATAAGGGGAAAAGACTGTAACTACTCAAGAAATAATAATTTTGCTCTAGGACAATGTCCGGCTGCACCTTGTTCCTATAGTATTATCAGCGCTATCTGAAATCTTATCCTTGTGCTAGAATATCCTGCATATAATCAAGATTCATATAAGAAAGAGATAAGTGTAGTGTGAGAAACGAACATTTGAAAACAAAATGATGCAAGAACAGTAGAGTTGGCTGATTTCGAAAACAAGAATCTAACTTAAGGCTTTCAACCAGCCCAACGTACTTGTTTATTTGTATTAAAATAAACAAGGTGTATAAATCATACATTGCTTGCTTGGAATTTATATCACTCTCTCTCCTAACAATCATAAATTTACATTCACCTCCGCATTTCTGAGAATTCTCAGGTATGAACAGAATGACTTAAATAATTAAATTAAAGCTAAATTCTTGATGGTTGTCCAGATATGAACAACTGCAATCATAATAAGAAAACTGTTTTCCTATATAAGAGAAATAAACAGTGCCATATATAGCATTACGCTGTTGAAATACGTATCTTAATAAATCGTAATTTCTAGTAACAGACTACTGTTGCCTTAAGCCTCATGAAAATTAGACTAAACCAAAATAATGCACTTGATGATAATGTAGCGATTCTTTAGGTATTAAATTATTTTCCTACGAAGCACGTAGTCCCATAAAAACATGCTTATCCGTCTAAAAATATAAGAACGTAAATAAGGATATGGATCTATGCAAACTAAAAAAACCATCCATGAAATGTTACTTTTATGCAAAACTAAACGCCTATGATGGCTAAAATGTTTAGTTATATTTTTAAGAAAATTATGTAAAAGAATATAGGCAGAGGTTTACATTATAAAGTCATTGCTTTGGGTTTATCTAGAGCTGGAAACATGAAAACATGAAAAACATGAAATCACGTAACATGGAGAGAGAAAATACCTTACATTCTCCCCATTTCAAGTCATTCTTGTCTGAGAAGGCGGGGGTCAGTCGCAAAATTCTAATTGTAAACAATTTTCGCTCACCACATTTTTATTCAGACGCTACAGAGTCATTGAATTTTTTCGAAACTAGGAAACAAAACAAAGATAGAATACTAAGTCCAGGTCTCCCGACTGCTAGCTGTATTGCTTCCAATTACACCAAAGGCATGCGGTAAGGAAGGAGAAAATACCTTGCTAAATAAATAAATGTGTGTGCAAGAGAATTGTATATGGTGGGATTTTTTAATTTACTTATTGAATGCGTGCATTATTACTATGTGTATTAACTTTCTTGTATGGACTGTATTACGAATTTACTGTTAAGCCTGTTTCCTTTAAATGACGTAGTTTGATGCATAAATGTCCTTTACTGAAAACACGTATGTTCGTAATTCTTCCTTACACCACATAAAGGTTCATTTTTTGAATTGATTTCTATTATGTGGTATAAAATGCAACTTCAAAATTATCTAAGATACAGCTAATTAAAAATTTTTAGACCGGATCGAAATATTATTAATAGAAACTAAATATGTTAAGTTTTCCAGGTGTGATTTCTAGAAGATAGCTTTCACATTTAGAAAAATATTAATTCATCTCTTAAACGCTTCATAAAGCAAGGCAGAGTTAGGGGATGTCTCGAGAGTCTTTCCAAATTAAAAAATTTGTATTAGTTCTAAGGATTTCGATGAACAGTTCCGTCTTAGCTGAGGCTACCTGCTTTCCTTCTCTTTTAATCGATTTTGGCTTCCAGGGGCAAAATGAAGCAGAACTTTGGACTTTCTTTCTATGTCGACTGAAAACTGAGTATGGCTTTGAAATCGGAAAGAAATGCGTATGCAGGAAAACTTCGACATTCGGAAAGATTGAAAAGTGTGATTTCTGTTTATGGATACAGGAGCTTATTTAGCAAATTATACAGATATGTTTATGTTTTCATTACTGTTGTACTATAGCCGAGAGGCTGAATGTGTTAAAAGTGCTTTAACATCGGTAATAGACTATTTACTCAGACTGAGTGTATTTCAAATTTTGAGAATAAATAATCATTGTTTTATAGTTTCATAAATTATCAGTATTTTATTGGAAATAATTTTTGCCTTCTGTAAAGAGTGTTTGAATCAGAAATCGTTGCTGCTTTTATTTTCATTTTGTTGTTATTTAAAAACGCAGTTCATTCTGCTTCAACAAGAAGCTATTCAGCGAAATTGTCTAGCAAATAGGTTATATATAACATCTTCATAACAGTTTCAATTCGTTTTACGTTGTATTTTGGATGTTTCTCAGTAGTCTACCAATTTTTGACCCAGTAATTTATAACAATAACGGAAGAAGCAGCTTAGTCAATTCATTACTGCACGTTGTAAATTCTGAATAACTGAAAATGCATGTAACTAGAAAAACTTTTAGGTATAAAATAAAGATTTAAAATATCGAGAAAGGAAAGAAGGAAATCTCGTAATGAAAATCTTCGTAATCTCATTCATTCCCGTAAAGTGGATTTATTACATAATATTATTGCTTATAGCAAGACATTTATAACTCGGAATAAACAGTAAATGTAAATGCTCCAAATAATCTAATAACATTGGATGGAGAATTTATTGTAATCTCCGTCCAATGTAGATTTCATACTCAGATATGTTTCTTCCTGCACTTTAATAAACTATAGCTTTCCCAAAGAAAAAAAAAAGTTTTCATAAAGGTAAGAACTATAGCTTTTTCCAAATAAACAGCTCCGTTTTTCACAGCATTAACGACTTCATTTTAGCTATTTCATCTCAACGTTCCACTACAGCATTGGTTCTCAAACTTTTTTGCCTCATTCACCCCTTTCGCCATTGCTATATGATTTCTGCCCCTCTCCTTTTCAAAATTTGAAAACGGCATGTTCGTTTATTTGAATTTCGATTATTTTCAATGTGTTTTGCATGTAAAACAAGAAAACGTACAGAATTCTTAACAGAATTCTGAGAATTACAGAAAATGTTGTTAAATACCAAAACTTGAATAAAAGTCATTTTTTATATTCATAATCTAAAACTAAATATTTAACAGGTTAAAAAAATGGCTGGCCTTATTCCCTCAAGGGGGAGTTCCCTGTTTGACAACCTCTGTGCTAACTGGTATTTATAAATAGCAATGAAACTGTTGTTTGAATGGTAGATATTTCAATAAGAATCATGCCAATGAAAGTGTCAGTAATAAAGAGTGTACTGCCTCTTCTGTTTCGTTGTACAAATAATACAATATTATTATTATTTGAAAGAT